TTTGCATATCTTTTCCCTGCAGAGTGGTGATTGCCACTGACAAATGGCATAATCCAACTCTTGCTTAGTTAAGTCGGTGGCACTTTGTTGAAGTCAACAGGGATTACTCTGGCAAAGCCAAAATATCTGTCAGGCTGTTCAACACGTTGCATATTTACTGGCACCTCTGGAGTCAGCTAGCTTTGTTTTTTTCCTAGGGATGAAGACAATAGCTTAAACTGTTTTTGAAAGGCTTTGAAACAGTGCCTAAGGAATAAATATGAATGACCTGTAGTAGTTACAGTTGAGACTGATTCTGATCATTGCAACCGATGACATACCTGTGCAAAGCCACTGCAACTGTGCAAAGAACAGAGCCTGCAGGGTGTTTTCTCAGCTTGGTTTTTTTTAAAGAGTGTTTGTGAGCAGTGGGACTGCCTGTCTTGCAGGAGCACAGTGCTGCTCCGATGTACACGTGTCATCTGTTCCATGCTAATAAATTAGCATCTGCAGCCACCAGTGCTGCCTGTCAGAGCCAGGGACAGAATTGAGCTGTTTGAGCTCGGTGCCACTGAAGTGTGTCTGGACAACTGTGGAAGATGCACATTATCCCATCTGTTTGCCACAGACCCTCCATCAGGTTGGATGTTTCAAGGTAACAGAACAGACGCAATGAATTCCACAGCAGACGACTGACTGCCTCAGAGACATCCTGCTTTGTCACGGCACAGAAAAATCTGACTGAAGAGCAATTTTATTCCTTCACAGCAGGTCATTTAAGCCCTGTCCACACCAGGGAAATGGCTGACTTTGGCCCAGCTCCCTTCGTGCTCAGGGCTGTCTCAGAGTGGCTGTTTTCATTAATGTCCCAGGTCACTCCTCTCCAGGAAGGCCTTGCAAGGCACTGGTTCAGTCACCAGCAGCTGCTGGTGGCCAGTTCAGTTTGGGGCTGCTGCTGCTGCCACTTGTCCAGATGGAGCCAGCTGTGGTGGGACTGCTGGGGGAACACACCAGAGGTGGGAGGTGGCACAGTGTCCCAAGCACTGGAATTCCTGTGGCTGGGATACCTGAGCTCTGTGGTGGCAGGGCTGGAGTGCTGAGCATCAGCCTCACCAAGCCCAGTGTGTCCCTGCCACACCGGTGCTGTTGCACCCACCCTCCCCCAGCTATTCTCAAAATAAAATCCTTTGCTGGACTTGCCATTTCCTCAGCAATACACATTCTGTCTAGGAAGAGAGAAAAATTAGACAACTGCAAGTTTGATTTGAGTGTAATAAAACTAGTTTATATACACAGTAACATGAATGCCACAGAGTACACAGCAAAGTACCACAGCAAACCAGAGTGTAACTGCCCCTGATCACAAAGGAAGGCTTGTAGTTTATATACTTATTGATATAAAAATGTGTAAATATCAATATGAAGCACCAGATAAAGCAATGCAACCAGGAATTCCAAATACAAATTACCCACAAGAATTGAGTTGAAATTGAAAAAAAAAAAATTCCCTTATTCAAGGCATTTAAAGAAATCCCATTTAAAAAAGTCCATTGATTTTGGAATCCCTAATTTAAAAATAAATTTCCCCCTTTTATTAAAAACAAGAACATAATCTTAAATGCTCAGCATAATTAAGTTTTAAAAGAAAAAAACCCAAGGATTTCAACTGCAAAACCTTCTCATACCAACAAGTCAAAGGACAAGGAAACAGAAGTTTTGAGTCATTTTTGAAGAGGTGTTATTTATGAAATGACTATTTAAAAATTTACACACTCTTAAATATATATTATATATACAATATATAATATATATATTTTCAAGCAAAAAGGGGCAAAGAATACTTCTGGGATACAAAATTTATATACATACATATATATATTAAAACATGCCCACATGCACTCATATATATATGTATGTATATATATATATATTTATGAACAAATATTCCCTCCATATAAAAAAGCTCCAACCTCTTCTAAATCCCTGAAATCTTCCCCTTGGATTTATGGAAAAAAAATATCTTTATAGTCTGAAGTACAAACCAAATTCTCAAATTCTGTAGAGTGGTAAAATGCTTATGTACAGGTAAGTGAAATATTTCATTTCTCACTGGCAACTCTGCTTGATCTGAGAGCATTCTGTGGTTTCCAAGTAAATGCTGAGTGGAGCACCAATGCAAGGAGACCTTTAGGAAGTTATTTAAATTACATTCTACACCCACTCCAAATCCCCATCTTTCTAATACTGCATCCAGGTGAATAATAAAATCCAGACAAATGTCTACTAGAAATTCTCTGCAACACAGCAGGGAAAAAGACTTGCTTCTCCTTTTGGAGTTGAGGGTGCCCTAAAGAAATTTCTCTCCAGTGTTTCTTTTGGAAAGTAGTTTTTGTGTATTCTTCTGTTGAAGTGTTTGGAATCCAGATGATTGTTTACAGAATGATTTCCACAGGTGTATTTTAAAGAGGTATTTAAAATTCTATTCTGCACTTCTTCGATGTTACCTCACTGAACAACTGAATCATCATCACGTCCCTCCCTGTGCTGACTGAAGGGCTCTGACTGTGCTCGGGGTTTTACAGGAGTTTTAGCAGAACCAACACCACCTCTGCAGAATCAGAGTAAAACTGATGGTCTAGTCAGGCAGGGAATAATGGCCAAGTACTGTTTGTACAGAGGAACAAACAGCCAGTTTGGGGAAAGGGGGAAAAGAAAGTGCATTAAAAGCTCTGACTCAGTTTCTACTGTATCCCTCAGAAAAGTTAAAATCGATTTAAATAAAAATAGGACTATTTCATATATATTTACATATGGATTTACTTGCTATTACAAACAAAAAAAAGTTAATTTAGATGGGACATGAGAAACAGTTACATTTTATTTCAGCAGCAAATACATGTTAAAATTAAGGACCTACAGTGTGAAGCTGCTGAATGAATTCTCTACATAGCTGAACCCTAACACATAACTTACTTAAATAGTATATTTTTCTCTGTAACACGTGGGAATTCCCTTGTGTTAACATGTCAAGGTGATCCATTCCTACCTTGTGGGTGCTGCTGGGATGTGTGGAGCAGAAAAGGTTTAAGATGGAACATTCCTGTAAATGCTCCTGGGCATTTTCATCTGTGCACCAGTAACGTGCTATCCCAGCTGGAGTCACTGGTTTCATCAGGTCTGAATGTGGAAGTGAGACCAGGCTTCTATGTTTGGACATTCCAGGGGCTCCAGAAGAAACTTCTGGATTCCCTCATTCCTGAAAATTTGTAGGCAAGCTTTTACTAGTAGATTCTCTTTATATTCACCTGGTTATGCATATTGACCAGATCAGATCTGAGGTTTGACAGGTAATTAGTGAATAAGTCATTCCCACTTAAGGAATACAAACCTAACCCATTTTCCATAACATCTCAGAGTAGTTTTTTCAGCACTCCTGTTGGAACAGAGGTTGTGTGCAGCACCTCCCCTGCCTACAGCAGGAGCAGCACATCTCACCTTCCCTGCTTCTCCCACACTAATTCCTCACCTTCCCACAGCAGAGTGTCTGCAGCAGATTGTCAAAGCAAAAGGCTTCTCTCAATGCCTGGTCAGTCCAGACCAGCTGACTTGTTATCCACTATTGTTCTCCCTGTGCAGATCCCAAATTTGAAAGCCCACAGTTTTGTTACTTCAGGTTTATGCTGTACTACAAGCGACCTAAAGGGACCCAGTCACATAAACCCCGAACACAAATCTCATGGAACAGATCAACCCAGTCTCTTATGAAGTACAGCATTTAATTTTGCAAAGTATTTTGCATCTTTATGTGGGCAGGATTATTTCTAGGGCTGTTATGAAAAGAGTAAGATTCCCACCAACTGACCAGCTACATTTCAGGTTTTTGACAAGGCACTAAACATTGTGAATCCAATCACTGTGCTCTCTCTGTAACATTAGAGAGGGTTTTAATGGCTCTAATAGGATCAGAAACCACTCATCATAATTCTTCAAACAAGCATTTGATTTTCCCAGAAATTAGTTTGCACTGGAAAAATCTTTAGAGTTCATGTTAAAAATATTTGAATGACAGCTTTTATTAATAGAAAAATATATATTTACAGTCAATACTGTTATCTTAGATTTGCAGCTCTTCCTATTTCTTGAGCTCAACTGAAAGTGCGACATTGCTAAAAAGAAAATTCAAGATCTGTGCACATATTCAAGTAAGTTCTAACATGCACAGCCAGGGGTTTTGTTCCTGTCATACACAGGATCCTGTTGCAAACAGAGCGGGTTTTTTTCCTTTTGCTTAGCAATTATGCTGTAGCATTCTTAGGATTTGCTTACAATCAGTTTAATGCATACATTCCTGTATATTTACGTGGCACAGTCTGGTGCCAGGATGGAGAACCACCACAAACACAAGTTACAATCATCAGTTATGGGCAGATCTGCAAAGTCAGCCTCAGGCTCCTCGAGGAAGAGCTCAGGCCAGATCAGGTTTGACTACATTGACCCTTCTTTCTTTTTTAAAGAAAAAGACCACACGACATTACAAATTGCTAAAGTTTACCCAGTGCTGCACAAGAAAGAGATTGGTAGTGAACATCTATCCATGCTTGATTATACTGCAGAGCTAAAATGAGTACTGGTTCATCACAACAGATACAAACTGAGATTGGAGAGCTAGAGATACAAAGGCATCGGACCAGCTGCACTAACACCGACGGCCGGGGAACACTGAGAATTCAGCTTTGCATGTGCACGTCGACACGGGAGGGACACCGGGAACGCGGGGCCATAAACACGGGAGCACCCACCGGCCCCGGGAATCGCTGCAGTGGGGCCAGGCTCCGGGCCAGGCTCCGGGCCAGGGAGCTGGGAGGGTGGGTGCACACACACACACCCACCACGGAACAAACACAACACAGAGCACGGGGAACAAAAGCCCTCCAGCAGCTCACACACTGACTAACGGCGACTAGAGAGCACCGAGTGCCGTGCCGTGCTCGCTGGGTTACCCTGCCAGAGCGTTGCCCTCCTGTGTCCAGAGCGAGCAGGGCTGCACCCAGCGTGGGATTCTTTGTAAAGGTTCTTCTACGAGCTGCTCAGCAGTAGTGTAGAAACTTTCTTTCCTGATGTAGTGGAGGTACCTCAACTACACACATTGCACTTGGGCTTTTAATGCACTGTCCTGTTTTTTCTGCATCAATGCCGCCATCCTAACCTTTTTTGCAAAAAAAGAGAAAGAAACAAAAAATATATCACACTAAAATATATTACCCTTATCCTTGCCTGATCCTTCACTGATACAGGTGAATCAAACAACAGAATAATCATCAGAAGTTTCAAAAAATCTTCAGGAAGGTCACAAAGACAGTCTATACTACAGCACAATCGATGTAGGCTTCCACATGCCCTTCAGCTGAGCTCTGAGAGATGCCAGAGAAGAGCAAGATAGACATGTCAGCCCCTCCAGGGTACTGTGTGGATCCAGAGCTAGTTTTGCTGACTTTGAGCCTGCAGGACTGTTTGTTCGGTTTCCATGCATCTGGTCCAAGCATGCATATGCTGTATAAAGTGGCTATTTGTTTCAAGGCTGAAGTGAATGGATTCCTCACAGTTTTAACAATTCAAATGAAACATCAATCCATAAAAAAAAGAACACATGGATATCTGTGCATTTATGTGCCAGGAAAGTAAAGGAAGGGGCTGCAGATCTAGCATCAGGTAAAGGCTGGTGTGTAAAGTGAACACTGTAATGTACAGCTTTAAAAAATAATACAAGAATTGCACATAGATCCATAGGAGAGAAGCACAGGCTCATAACTAGGGCTGTCTGCTTTCCATCACCTGGGTCAGAATATTCAGGATCACTTTTTTCCCTGCATCCAGATCAGTTCTTCAGAGTGATTCAGGAAACAACTCATAGCCTGGCAATACTGAGCAAAGGTATTGTCTGTACAACTGCATAGGTTCCATGGGAAATGGCTGTCAGGGCATGGAAGGGAGTCAGCAGTGGCCTCTAAAAGTGAAAAAGCTCCTTCAGGTTGAGTTTTTAGAAATTCTGACTCTTTAATCCCCACTAATTCCTCCTCTCATCCAAAACTCTGTCTGTGGTGCTCTTTGAGCTCTTCTGACAACATTCCATTTCTCGGGTGTTGTCTGTTGCAACATTAGAAAACAATAGTTACAACAGACAGAGACAGGCAGCCAGACACCCCTGTGGGGAACATGGACCAGGATACTGTCAGCTGTGGCTGCCAAACTTAACAGCTCTCTCAATAATTAAACAACAGTGTTTTTGCCCCCTTGTTTTTACCCTTCAGAGAACTACATCTGCAGTAGAAGTGTCTCCATGTGGCCTGTTAGCTACACACAGACAAGCTTTAAACATTTCTATCTCCTGCCAACAAACCAGCAGAGCCAATTTCAGTCCCATTTTGCAGTATGGCCCAAGTGACAAGAGCAGACCAAAATAAAACAGAAGAGGTGGCTGTTGTTTTCATCCTCGATCTGTAGCAGTGATTGTCAGAGAAGGTTATGTATGTCCTATCCAGTTCAAGTCAAGCTTTAGTGATGGAGGGGGAATTTCAGTGGCCCACCATTGTCTTGTTCTTGTATAAATGCAGTTATGGCTACAGTACATCAATAGTCCAGACTGGTGAATGGCACCTGGGAAATGGGATAGACAAAGTGTGCATATTCTGCTTTTTAATGCAGAGGTCATAAGCTAAGGGTAATGGTCTGGTTAAGGCAGCGTTGTTGAACTCATGGATCCATGGGTAGAGAGGATATGGGTAGGCAGTGAGGCAGAGAAGGAAGGAAGGGGACTGAACACAGATGCTCACTGACACTTGCCACAGTCAGCAGGAAAAACACAGCTGGGGAGGAAAATACAGCAAAGTCTGTGGTTGAGACCAAAGGAAAGAGGAGCACAGCCCACCTGTGGGGGACTGATTAAGCTGAGAAGAAATTTTGTGTGGTATGTGGAATGGAAGCAAATGAGTGTTTTGTGGCACGGTGGATCATTCATCTCACATTTACAACTAATCCATCTCTGCTGATGGTCACTGCTATTCACTAACCAGTGCTACACAGGAAATGACAGAAACTACCCAGAACAGGAGGGCAATTTGTTTACTGCAGTGGTAGAAATAGTGGTATCAAAGTTTGCTCTCCTTTTCTGCCAGATATGAATCAAGTCACGTACTGTCTGACCCGAATGCAGTCATACATCTATAATCAATCCCTAACGGGCCTGGCCAAAAAAGTAAAGTTTCTGTCAGACTGGGTACAGGATGCAATTTCTCCAATGAGAACCTATTTGCTCAGAGTTGCTGGCTTTGATATCTAGGCTGTTTTTAACACTTGTACAAAACGTGAGCCCTAGTGCAGGCTGGAGTGAGGGCAGGGGCAGAGGTGAGGGTGTTTCATGAAAAGCAACAGGCTCTACAAACTAGTGCTGCTTCATGATTCTCACAATGCGATGAAGTGAGTCCGTAGTGGCAAAAGCCAGATACTGACAACAAAGCCAGTCTTCCAGAATAATTCCACAGTCCCTCTCCAAGGACTTCTCTGCAAACTTGATCATCAGCAGCGTCCTTTTTATGTCCAGCCAGTTCTGAAGGATAGCATCTCTTCGCGAGGGGTTGGAGGAGGTACTCAGAGCATGGAACAAGTCCTCACGTGGACCCCAAAGCAAACACTGAAGGATTCCCTTGGCTTCTGATATCAGGATCCTCTCTGAAGGGTTGGGATTCAGCAGGCAGCTGGCAAGTTGTTGAAGCCCTTGAGAGTAAAGGGAACGGCAAGGAATCTTCGGGAGGTCAGCACGAGTGTACTCCTTCTCCTTCAGCTCTGGATTCTCATCGAAGGGGTTGGGTAAGTGCAGCATTTCATAGATGAGGATGCCAGTCTGGAACTCATCACACTTTTTGTACTGGGTCGCAGTGATGATTTCTGGAGCCAGGCGGGACTGATCCCGTAGGACCTCTGGATCCACCATGTGACTCTTCTGCTTGGCCTGGGAGAAATTGCTCACTATGAGCCTGGCTGGGCATGCGGTGTTGGGACCGTGCTCCATGGACTCGGGGCTCAGGGGGCTGCCTCCCGGTCTGGAGTGAACCAGCAGCAGGTTCTCCAAGCGCAGATCACAGTGTGTGATGTGATATGGCTTCAGGTGCTCCAGGCCCAAACACAGCTGCAGGAGGAGCAGACAGACCTGCCTCTCGTACAGGTCGGGGCTCTTGGCGTGGCGGGGCTCGGACTCGCGCACGAAGTCGGCCACGGTCAGGTGCGGCACCTCCCGTGTGATCACCACCACTCGGCTGCGGGGCCGGCTCATGGTGCCCGGCCTGCTGGAGCCCTCCTTGGCTGCAGCCTCTGCACTGGAAGCCGTGTCTCTGTTCTTCTGCTCAGGTTCTTTCTCCTCTTCCTCCCGGTCTTCTTCTTCTTCCACGTCCGGCGCGTCATCGTCCTCCCACGGCAGGAGCCGAACTGGCACTTCAGCCAGGAAGTGGCCACAGTCCTGCTGGATGTTGAAGTTGATGGCCAGGCTCTGCCGGATAGACAGGCTGTGATAATACTGCTGGGACTCCTTTGCTTTGCTCTTACAAATCTGGGGGAGGAAAGTAAACAGACATAACTCTTAGATTTCTAAATTCTGCATCCTTTTTATAAATATGTATTTTGTTGATGGGATCTACAGACTAGACCTAAACACAAGCAATAAAAAATTCTTTACTGAACCGACCTTGGCAGACAATCTTAAGGCACTCAAACTGTTTCCATTGGCTAGTAAGCAACTGCAGAGCAATACATGCAGGCACCTCTCCCTCTGCATAGATTATCCAATGGAAAATACAGTCTGGTTTTTAATCAGAGTAGCAGCAATATATGGCCAATGCACAGTGAAGCTTATTCACAGTTACTTGATTATCCATATCATTTTCTTGCATGTTCTTCTCTCAGCTTTAAGTGAAGCTTGAACAAGACCAAAATAATCAACAGCAATAGAAGAGACAAAGAAACACGCACAGAGTATGTGACCAAACGCTTGCAAGTGGCCCAGTCAGCATGGCATGACAAGTTACAGCCTGTCAGCTCTGGGACTGGATACTGGAAATTCAATCCCTGAGCTGCAGCAGTGCCATGTCTGCAGCGAGGGCAGGGTGTGTCATGGCACAGGCTGCTGGCAGCTGTGCTTGGCTGTGGCTCAGGTGAGGGATGGACACTCCTTATAACAGGGTACCTGAACTGCTTTCAATCATCTGTCAAGATCCCAAGTATATGTTTGGGGGGTTTGTGCCATGTGTAGCTGTATTTAATTTATGCCCAGTAATATCTTGTTGATATACACATTATCACCATAATAATTATCCTTATTAATTGTCTGCACTGCCATAACAACTGGCAGTTCCAACCCCCTGACAACAGTCACTGGACAAGCCCCATTAGGGCCTGTGTTCTAAGGCATTTACTGATTAAAATGACAAAGACTCAGGCATGCTGATATTTGCATATTAACCTTAGTTCTACTGAATTCAGAGAGATCATTCAAAGCATGTAAGGTTAAGTGTATGTTTTAATCTTTACACGGTTAAGTGTCCAAATATTCACTTGCTACATAATGTACAGGTCTTAACTGCAAAGCTCAGACAAGAAAGAAGACATCTGTGTCCAGATGAAGTTACAGCTTCCCTCAGCTCATCTCTGAAAGCTGAGATAACTAAGGTTAGTAACAGTCAGAACTTCGGCAGGGTAAGTTATAAACTTGCCTTTCACTAACACAAGTTTTTTATCTTTGATATGGTTATGTGGTTAAGAAACATAATTAGAACAACTATATGTTAAGAAACATAATTAAATCGGGGATTTAATCTTTTATGCTTGTTGATCAGAAAAGTGCATTGTCAGATCACATGGAAGTGGACACAAGCTGTACCAGCATTTTGATTGTCCTCCTGTCTTCCATACTGTGCATATTTCCATACCTCACAAGCATTTACATTTCCCTATTATGCAAATATAACTTAAACTGCCTGTTTATAACTGCCATGCACAAGCAAAGCAGGTTTGAAAAATGCATTTTCCAGTCAATTTTATTTAAGAGAGGAAAGCAATTTTCTGGAAATGTTGACAGTTACCCTGTTTATGCAGTGGCTCTTGCTCATTTAAATTTTCAAATGTATTTTATCCCATTAGAGGTGAAGTGAGTTGTCAATGGAATGCATTTGCTCCTGCCCCCCCTTCTCTCGAGGGTTACAAAAGCTTAAAAAAATACAGCAAAGATATAGCAATAACCTTTAATAAAACAATAACCTTTGAATTATATATGAAAAGAAAATGCCAACTGATTGTGTTTGAGACTGAAGGCCCCTGATTGATTAAATACTTAATACTGCACAGAAAACAGAACTAGAAAAGTTGCACAGACCCATATATATGTGTTGTATATACACACATTGTATACATCAAATCTGCAAGAAGAGCTATTAAGGAAAACAAAAAGTTTTGTCTTCTATGCCCTTCAAGTCCATGGCCTTTTTCTTGTAGCCAGCCATGGGGACAATCAATTCCCACAGCAGAAAGGGTTCAGTGTGTTGTAAACCAACCTATAGTTTTTAAAAATACTTAACTGACCTAATAAAAAAAATAAACTTGTTCTGAAAGAGTTTAATTTTAAGGTCAATCTTACTTGCTGATAAAAACAGTTGGAAAACCACACTTGGCTTTAGCTACTGCACTATATTTGATCCACAGAGGATTTCTAATGCCACCTGCCAGCTAAAACTAATATTCTATTAGGAATATAATCCACAAAAGTATTTGCTCTGAAAACAACATACACTTCTCAGTTTGGTGAATACAAGGCCTTTTTTAAAGCTTATGGAAAGGATTTCTCCTTGCCTACAGAAAAAGAAAAGCAAAGGAATTGAGACTTTTTCCTAGTTTCTAATTTTAGGCCTAGTCAGCCTCTCTTTCCTGCTTCCTTCAGAGGAGGTTCTCAGGTTTACTCCTGGCATTTCAGTTAAAGTTGGGGATGGGCTCTGCACCTCCCAAAGTCAGCCTTGGATCGCTCATTTCAGAAAATATGGCCAATCCCAGAATTGTGAGAGAGGCAAGGAACCTGCACCCACCCTCTGGGGCTGTGGTAACACCTCCCTCCTGTGGCACTGCCTGGCTGTGCCCTCTGCACCAAAGGCACTCAGCACTGGGGCAGAGGGCACTGCCCCTGCTGGGCCCATTCCCTGTTCCTGATGCCTCTGCTGTGCCCATTCCCTGTTCCTGATGCCTCTGCTGGGCCCATTCCCTGTTCCTGATGCCTCTGCTGTGCCCATTCCCTGTTCCTGATGCCTCTGCTGGGCCCATTCCCTGTTCCTGATGCCTCTGCTGGGCCCATTCCCTGTTCCTGAGCCACTCCCACTGGCCTGCAAGGCAAACCCCAGCTCTGTGTTGTGGGCTGCATCATTCCTAAGAAAAGCCTCTCCAGTCTATTAAACCCACCCCAAAACAGAGTTATGCTTTTCTGTCTTCTTTGCCCTTCTCCCTGCTATTCAACCCCAACTTCACATTAAAGTCACAGCCCTTCTCCCTGCTGACTGAATAAAAACTGATCCCCAACTCCCACCCTTGAACATTACACCTTTACAGCTGGGGAAGGTGGAACCTTCCCCCTCCTCTTTGCTTTCTTTTTGAGACAACCCAGCCCTTACTTCTCCTGCCTTTATTCCTAATCCTCTGATTATTGGTGCTCTTTTCTGGATTCTCCCCATTTATTACATCTTTCTGAAGAGTGGTATAATGAATATAATATTCTGAGTTCAGACCTTTCCAGCACCAAGCAGAGCTGAGCTCTGTATATAATGATCCTTGGAACACTTCCCAGGACAAGAAGTTCCATTAACTCCACTGTTCATGAGCAGTGTCCACTCTGCAGTCTGAAGCCATAGCAGGGCCAAACTTTCCCCAATATCAGTTCTTAAAGATGTTTTTGTTCCAGACTCTTCTCTTTATATCAATAAAACACAATTTAAATTATCAACAAACCAGAAATTAAATACTAAATAATATTATGATTAAAACCAATACTAAAATGACTGCATTCATGAAAAGAGTTTTCCCCTCCTTATTCTGCTGTTAAGGAATATAACCAATATGGGGGAAAAAAAAAATCTAATCCCACAAATGCCCAGTGGTGATGGCTTTTGGATGCTTTTCCTTCTCTTGTTTCATACAGAGAAGTAGATGGGTGCACAAACGTGGATCAGTATCTGCAAAGAGAGCTGAGATGTGATGAGAGATGTATTTTCTGCTTCTTGCCTTTTGTTTACAAACACCATGAAGTGAGAAGCGGAGGAGGCAGCTGGGTTATTTCAGGCTGATTAAACTGCTGACTACACAAACACCAAAATTGGTACAGCAGGCACTCTGTAATCACCAAGGGGAAGGGAAAGCTGGGCTGTCTGGAGGCAGCACCCAAACCTGGGCTGTAATAACAAATCAGACACCTGCCTGAATTCATAAAGCAGTTTCTAGAAGACAGACCTGCAGTAATCTGATGTCCCTGTAAGAGGGTACTCTTCAGGTACATCCTGGGGTTTTATACTGCAGTGTTCACATTCTGATTTACAAGTATCTTGTTAGAATGGGGAAAATGTACTGAAAGCAGTGGAGAAATGTACTGAAAGCAGTGGAGACAAACTTAGTTTTCTTATTGATCTGTTCAAAGACAGTTTAGAGAATTCAAATTTTATTTATTTCCTGTACTGTGCTATCATTTTCTGAGTTGCAGTTTTTACTTGGAACTCTATTTTATATTACCATTTTGCAATGGAGTAGTGAATACTAGTGTTTAATACTATCAATGGCTAATCATTCTCACCCAAGCATTTCGTATTGGAAAATCACCACTATCACCTCAAACTGTCACCTGAATGACCAAGATTTATAAGTTTCAAAATGGTCTGAGTTAGAGGAAGTTATGGGACCAAAGTCTGGGCTTACATTTGAAAAGATTTAGGGAACAAGTTGTGACATTTGATGGCCTTCCTAACAAGTGCTTTCGACTGCTTGTGATGCATTGCTAAAGAGTGCACACAGAGCTGCTTTTCTGTTTGTGATGGTTAAATGCTGTGTCAAAGCTGTGAATAAATGTACAGCTCAGCTTCCTTTGCATTTTTAAAGCTTTTGTCTGTTCCAGTTGTCTACTCAAAAAATATGGAAATCCTGTTGCCTTTTACATACATAATATGTTTTGAACACCTATTTTTTGGCAGAGGAAAAAAAGGTGAAAATACCTAACACCCACAGAAAGTAGGATCAATCAGTCCTTTACCCTCTGCTTTAATGAGCTCCTTCCAGCTGAGCTGTGCAGATATGGTATGTGATAACAGCTGAGAGGAAGCTGTTGATAAGGGCTTGGCCAGCCTTATTTCTAGAGCTGATAAAGAGCTGGTTGTTCAAAAGATGAAGCAATGCTGGTAAAAAGCCCTTCCTTATGATGCAAGAAAGCCATGAGAAAAAAGAAGTACAAGTAGGAAGGAATGGAAAGCATCCACCTTCCTTTTCTCTGGAATGCACTGTCATCATGCATCTCTAATGTATCCACAGGAACTAAACTTCTGTCACGTTTACAGGGACAGGGCAGGTTTCTTTACATCCTGCCATTTCAATTTTCCCCCCTGCTCCCAGCCTAAGAAGCAGGGTTTGGATGTTTCAGAGCTTCTACAAACTGTTCTGCATTAGCTTTTATTTTTCCTTTATGAGTCCCCTAGCCTACTGTGCCATCAGCTGACTTTCACTTCCCCAGCAGGGAATCTCATTTCCACTCTGTCCTATGCATTTTGCAGGGCATCAGTGAACTTAAAGCACGATGAATATTGTGGGAAATGAATTTACAAGTGCTGAAAATGAGAAACACAGAAGATCACAAAGACTGCACCATCTGTGCTACTTTGTTGTATTGCACAGAGGGACAACTGCAAATGAAATTCTGTGTAGAATGAAAGCTTGCTAATCCCAAATTGATAGCTTATTCTTGGCACAGCCTTGTTTTCCAAGGAGGCCAGTTTGATATCTGATTGACCTCATTTTCTTGATCTGGCCTTGGAATAGAGCTCTGACTTTTTAACAATGTGCCAAAATACAGAATTCTATTCTGCCGTGACTGAACTCAGAATGGGCTCGAAGTTGAATGTACATTTTATTTTGATCTGAGGCATGAAGTTCTGGGATGACCTTAAATAACACTTCTGTCAAGAAGCTCCACTAGGAAACTAAATTACCAAAAAAAAACCACCTCAGCACACTGTAACAAACTAAACATAACTAGAAAATAATTGTCAGCTGCAACCAGGAAACCGTCAGCCAGGCTCAGCCCAGCACTGTTCACTTTGCATTGCTCTGCTTTACAGTTGGGACAGCAGCCTTACAAGAAATCCTCAGGTTTTACTGCTAGAAAAACTTGTGCCTGCCCTGCAGCAATGAAAGCAATAAATTTTAACTGCTCCTTTGAGCTGTTGGCACCCTTGCAGTCCCTGCCATCCCCTGAACAGCACTGCACCCCTGCCCGTGGCCAGGGCCAGCCCAGCGGGTTTTACGGCCCTGCTGTTCCCCGGGGACTCGGATCACCTGTGGGGCTGGGATGTTGGACTGTTTTCCCTGAGAGTTTCATATTGAAAGTGGAAGTAGTTTATGTCACTGACATAATAACCTCGTCTATTACTCATTCTGAGTCATATATTTATTTTTTTTAAATAAAAAAGCTCCCTGTGACATCACTGCCTTACTCAGTCCCCGTTGGGACACTGAGAGCTGAACTCACCCAGTCTCCTGTGTGCAAAGAGCTGCTGCCCTCTGCTTTCACTTTAGTGTAACCTTTTCACCACATATTTGGAATTACTGGTAAGACTGTGGTTTCAGGGGAATGTTTATCCATATTGTCCCAGATCCACCAACTACTTAGGAGGTGGTACTGCACTTAGTGAAAAAAAAAACCACCTCAGGCTCTGGAACTTTTTGGAAACCTTCCTTGTTAAGGAAGCTTTTATTTTTCTGTTTGAGAAAGTAGTTTTCTGATCACAACTTATGTACTGGTTTTATTTATAATGTTTCAGTCAAAATAATTTCCACATGGCCTCCTGCAACTTTTTTGCACAGGGTGTTTACGAGAAGATTATGTGAGAGTGAAGCAAAAACCATAATACAATGTTGTGAAACAACACACCCCTATAAACATTTCCACTAATATCCACCCCAACAGAACAAGTTGTGCTCATTCTCCATCAAATTTATCAGAGCTTCTTTTGCTGGTGAAACCATCAGAACATAAAAGTTCATCTGCACAAAATGTTCATTCTTCTAAATTTAACTCAGCAGTAGTCAAATGGTTAAAGCTGAATTTTTAACAGTGCTTTTGTAGTTCTACTTTGGAGCTAGAATATTAAATTTTTTATAAATTTATGCATTAAGACCATTAACACCGTTTGGGGGTCAATCTCTTGTTTTCTATGAAGAGAATAATAATTATAAAATCTCATTATCACATTTTTTCTCAGATCTAATATTAAAATCACAGAACTTAAGAACTGTCTGAACTGTTAGCCAGCATTGCTTGGGTAGTTCTGCAAAACTCAAAAGAGCTACATAAATTCACACAGCCTGAAGATGTGGCTCCATGTACACTTTCAAAATGCATTTCTAAGACTTGATCCAAAACAACAGGAAGACCATATTTTGGATTCAATAGGCACATTGGTGATTTTCATCTCACTCTTTTTTCCATCCTGTTTTGGGGACAAGGGATTTCAAATGGCAGGAAGACACAGCTGATTTATTGAAGGTAGATTATGATGTAATTTGGCTCACACAAAAAAACACCCACGGTAGTAAAAACTGGCGCATTTGTTAAAGCTAAATTCCCCAAATCTCTGTGTTATGTCACAGCAATCTGTTGTTATGAGCTTTTGGACAAACCTGAGCCTGGACTGATGGCTTGTAAGTAAAAGATCAACCTGGGGCAAACATCTTCCCCTATCACATTAAATGCCTGGGAGGGTATTTTCAAGAGTAACTTTTCCTCTCCTTGTAACAGCACAACAGCTCAGGGTGACCTTGAGCTCAAGGATATTCTGTGGACACTTCACTCACATCTACTACCATGCAATAAATCTTGTTGGTCTGAGAACTATTTTTAAGACACCTGAATTATGAAAAGGAAAATTTAGCACCTATTTGACCATGTTCCATTGCTGTTCTTTCTTCTCCCTGGCTTTCTACAGGGGAAGTGTATTTAGGAGGACAGCAGATAACAAAACAACAGGTCTTGCCAGTGAGGGAATGCTTTAAAGGCACAAATGTGATGTGCAAAGAGGTGTCACATTAGTGACAGCTCAAACCTGCCTTTAGAGAAAAATACCACGTTGGGCCCCAGAAACAACCATTTGGAACTAAAACAAAACAATCCAAGCCAGTAATGAGTAATGCCAGGGTGCTGATTCTGCAGCCAGAGCTGATGGCCAGAGACACATTCACGGCCTGGTTCTTTCTTGGCCACTTTGTACCAAGTGGCATCCACAAGACATCCATGTTTCATTTCACATCTTTTGAGGTCCTTAATAATTACCAAAATATAAATGGTTATGCCCAGAAACCTGCCTTAAAAAGATGCCTTTTCAAGTTTCAGAAAAACGTATCAGTGGCACCAATCCTACCTTTTATTTTTTCATATCTTACTTGCAAACAATCACACAGGAGTGGTAACAACATTTTGTTCCTGTAAAGCACCACCCTTGTGAGAATGTCAGCGTGCTCTGTAAGGAATAACTCATCAGGCCTCACACATCCCTGTCGGGTAATAAATGTTTTATCTCAGTTTCAACAAGGAGGAGTCAGAAGTCTGGTGATTTACTCAAGGTCAGCCAGGAAGCCTGACAGAGCTATGAGTCTCAGCTGTCCTTCTCACTATCTTCCTACCAGATAAGCATTGAGAAATGCAGAGATACAGTGCTCAGGAAGAACTACCTATATAAAAGTCCATAAAGTAACAACATCTAGTGAGACAGCTGCCAACTAAGCATTAATATATTAGCAGTAAATCTAGTAAATTTTATTTCTTTAATGTGCTAGCTGAAGAATTTATAAGGCAACACTGATGGCTGTAGACAGAGCTTTTGAAAGGCTGGTAAGGAACACTGGTGAAACTGTAAGACCCTGTATGGGAACATCAGATATATTAGCCTAGAATTTACACTTAGAATTACACAGCTCTGAAAATGGAAATGTTTTAGTTTTTTAGGAAATCTTTCTTAACTAAGAATGATGACTTAAGTTCATCCCCATGCAGATGGATCAAAAGGATTTTTTCACTGTGAGTTTGACCCATGTTAAAATAATTCAGCTTTTCTTTCAAAATGTCATTGAACAATGGTAAAGACTGAGATGTGTTTATTTTGTTCCAGCAATTTTGGAACTGCAGTAAAAACATGAAATTAAACAGCAGATACCAATGCCACACATGGCTCTTGACAGAATCATAGAATCATAGAATCAGCTGGGTTGGAAGGGACCTCTGAGATCATCAAGTCCAAACCTTGATCCAACCCTGCTGCAGTTCCCAGCCCATGGCACTGATGCCACATCCAGTCTTATCTCAAACATCTCCAGGGATGGAGAATCCACCACTTCCCTGGGCAGCCCATTTCAATGCCTGATTACCCTCTCTGGAAAGAAATTCTTTCTAATATCCAACCTAAACCTCCCCTGACACAGCTTAAGACTGAGCCCTCTTGTCTTGCTGAGAGTTGCCTGGGAAAAGAGACCAACCCCAAGAAGTAAGAGCCTGTATTTTGGGCAACCTACTTCTCCCCCAGCGCTGCTGCCAGCAGCACCCACACGTGTTCGTGGCCCTGTCACTACTGGCTGTGGTGCAGAGCGTGGTGGTTGTCCCATTTGGTCACTGCTGCCCGGGGTTTCCATTGTCCAGGCCCCTCTTACCTTGACTGCGTAGTTGTTGAGCGGATCCTTGGCGTAGGAGGCCGGGTAGTAGACGGCGTCGCCGGCCTCGCAGCAGGGCTTGTCGCTGGTCAGGCGGAAGTCGGACCAGCTGTCCACCCCGAAGCGCAGCTGGTCCTTCTGCCCGGCCATGAACAGATCCTCGCATTTCAGCGCCAGCTTCTTCAGGGAGTCGGCGTGCAGGCCTCGGATCTTCCCCACCACCTCCTCCCGGTTTTCGATCCCGCGATAAAGTGCTTGTCTCTGCGGCTTCTGCACCCCCCTGCCCTGCCTGGCCTGCGAGAGGTGTCTCCCCGTCAGAGACTCCATGCTGTTGGAGCACCGGTCCTTAATACTGATAGTGGTTAGGCTGGAAACACTGTTCGTGGCCGACGTGGTTGCCCTCAGCTTTTCCACAGGCCTGTCCAAGGAATCCCCGGACTCGTTGTCCAGTACCTTGAGCTCCAGGCTGACGGAGGAGCAGGCGCTGCTCGCTTCCCAGTTGGTGTCGATGTCGTAGGTGGGATTGGCCATGATGCACAGGTTGTTCTCCAGAGCCTGCTTCTGGAGATCCCTGGGAGTCGGCTCCGTGTTAGCTCTCAGGATTGTTTTCTTTGGCAGTGGAGGTGGGGTTGGCTGCAAGTTGTTCACTGGCTCCTGGTCTACCAGCCCTCCGAAGGCAATGGCATCATCCAGAGCTCCCTTGGGTTGCCTCGGCTGTTTTGGAGGGATCATGGTTGCTCTGGACTGTCCTGTGGAATAAGATAATAGTAACAGAAGATTAAAGTACTTTGCATCTGCTGCTCATATTTGTGCTCTGCAAAGAAGTTTAAGGCAAAAAAATAAAGCTGACTGGAACCCTCCCAATATTTAAAAAACCCCTAAATACATATATGAAAAGATGAACTAATTACTAAGCAAAATGACCAAATCAGCATCCCATACATGTCATTACATCCAGCCAGTCCTGGTTTGACCCTGGCATATATATTAACATCAGTGTCAGTGCCAGCAATGCTGCCACTTCACCTCCCACCTGATTAATGACAAGAAGTGCAAGGAAAAACCAAACATCAATTTGGCACTTTGGCCAAAGTCCAGTTTCAGCAATTACACCCAGCCACCCATAATTTCTTCTGCACTCAACTATAATATTATTCCTGACTTCCTATTCAGATGTGCCAAAACTATGGGTAGACAGCAGTCCATAAATTTCCATAAATTGGGAAATCTGCCAGAGAGGCTGAAAATCTTATTTCAGAATGGAAACCAGAAACCTTCAGACACAAATAATGGAGTTTAGATACTTCTGTGGTCACATTGGGAAGTTAGGATTGCCCCAGCAGATTCACCAGCTGGAAACAAGGAAATTAGGCCTATTTTCACTCAGGTTGACAAGTGTGTTCCCATCGAGAACTGAGTTGTGTTTTGACAGAAATATTTTTTACCCTACAATTTAAAACTCACATCCCTTCCCCCAACTGTAAGTTCTCTAATACATTTCCCTTCCTCTCTTGCCATGGGTACTTTTGTTGGCAATATTGTGTTCATAGATAATCTGACCCAGCTTCAGTCAAGAAATTCCAAACAGCAGGTTACGTACACACAAGCACAGAATTTCCACTGACAGACTGCTTTCAGACATCTGTGTGAATCCAGGGAAGATAAACTTCCTGTCATGTGCTCTGAATGGCTTTTATAGAGGGCAATTATCTTTTATAAGTGCCAGAGTCCTTGAAAATGAAGAACAAATAAATGACAATAATATAATGGAGAACAGAAACTAATAAACAGACAATACAAATGACCAACTTGCTGCTCTGGGACAATTAAACAGTTGTTACTCATATCAAAATGAGATCTTTCCACTCTTAATAATCAACTGCTACTTTCAGAGAAATTATTTTATAAGCTTTCTACTACTCCTGGGAGGTTCACTACCATGGTAAGGTAGGAAGCCAATTTTTACAGTTGCAACACAGCAGACATGGAAACAATAATTGCAGTGGAGCATCTTTTCTAATAAGAGAACAGACACCTTGACTATTTGACTGTTTATAACGTGCTGAATCATAAAATTGTTTAGGCTGGAAAAGACCTTAAAGATCACTGAGTTCAACTGTTAACCTACCACTGCCAAGCCCACCAATCCTTGTAAAGAGGGGACTGAGCTGGAATGCTGAACCAAACTGGGGGATCTCAGATTCAGATGTGAATCACATCACTTCAGTCCATTGTTAATAATAAATGACTTTGCAGTCTATTAAAAATAAAAGATAACTTCTTTTACTTTTTAAGATATGTTGTTATAGTTTTTCTGAATATGAAAGAATCCTAGATCCACTTGGCCAGGATGCACAAAAACCTGGAATGCTGGGTTAGAATGCTGAAATGATTTCACAAGATCAAAGAGGATTGTATTTTTATAAGTATCCACAAACACAGCAGCCTTGCATCCTACATTTTTAACAATCATTCTCTTTTCAGTCATTTCAAGGAGACAACATCACAAATGGAAGTTCTCTCTCCATCTTTTGTTTAAGCTCCAGAAACCCTCAGAAGAGCCTTATGGATTTAATGATAAGCCTGGCTCTTCCAGTGTTTAAAAAACCGAATTTGGAGCAGGAAACTCTATCAGCTTTGTACATACCCGATCTTCAGGGAAGACTGCAAATCATTTTCAAGGTTGCTAAAAGAAATTTAACACTCAGAGACCCAGGGGACTCCACTGCTCCTTTGGGATCGTGGTACTGCAGCCAGAGAGCTCTACTGTGGCAGCTCTGCCTCTCACTGCTGTGCTGCAGCCTCTGACCCTGGGGCCAGTCGGGCAGCACAGGAACTCTGTCAGAAATCTCCCCTTTGCAGAGGTGCAGAGTCAAAAGTAAATTGATGTCTGCATGCCAGACATGCATCCAGATGCCACAGCTTTTTCCTTAGTCCTGAGACGAGTTCACTTCTACTTCATATCCAGTTTTCTTACTCATCCAAACACGTGCCCTCTTCCACAACTACTTACTCTTACCAAATCTGTGACCTATGTACTTTAACACAGCACTGTGTTAAAGATCACTTGCCTGTTTTTTTATCCTTCCCCTCTTCCCCACTATGCTGAGACAGCCTGACTGCTGGGGTGGGAGAGAGGACACTACTGCAGGAGGATCTGCTGATCCAAGGACTGCACAGGTGCCAGAGAGAAACAACAAGAAAACAAATGAGAGCAAGATGCACACGTGAAGCAGCAGCAGCAGCAGGAGCCCTCTCCAAGAAAGGTAAGATTTATATCAGTGTTACTGCTCCATTCTCTTGTTTTCTTTCTGCTTTACTGGCCCTGCCCTCCAAAAGCCATTCATACAGAGCAGGGCCCTGAGACTGCAACCAGTGCTGCTTTTGCTTTGGAACTGTGACATCCAAACAGAACTGGGGAAGGTTTTCATAGCCAGAAGCGATTTTCTGCAGGAGTATGGAGGGGGTGGCAGGATCCAGGGAACTGCACATACAAGTCGTTCTGTAGTCACTGTTTCAAGTATTCTCAGCTGAGGAAAATGAGTTTGTCAAACACGCCACGTTACAGTTGTTGTTTCTCCCCACAAGAACAAGTTTTCCATATTGAAATCTACCCATCTGAATTACACAGTTGAAAAGCTTCATGTCTGTGCTGTTGCTGTGCTGAGTTCTGAACACTGTACATTTGTTTCATACCCACTGGGCCAGTCTTTCCAGCTCAGCTTTCCTGAGGCAGGAAACTTCATGTCCCACATTTTTATAAATTCATTGCCTAGCAAGAAAAAAGCTGTCTTAAATGTTGTCCCTGTCAAAGGCACAATAATATTCTGCTGCACAGAAGTACCAGCAATGCATTTATTTCTTTTTCTTGCCTATCCTTTCCTTCTCCCCTTGCATGCCTAAAACCATTGTTTCCTTACCTACTGCACAGGCTCCCCAGCATTGCAAGGTTCAGCCTGAGCCACACTCTTGGGAGGCAAGTGAAAAGGCACAATATTGGGCTACCAGCTACAGAGAGCTTTGAAGTGGATTCCAGACTGCTCAATGACAGAAAAAAATTTAACTCTTTATAGACAGCAGCTTTCTAGAGAGCTTTAAGTAATTCTACAGTTCAATAACATCTTCCATTACAGAATCTCACTGCACTATTTAAATATTAATGCTGAAGTCTCTAGACACCATGCAGAGGTCTGAAACTCTAAAGGAGCTCTGAAAAAGGCATTTAAATGTTATTTTTCTGGGTAACTGATTTATCATCAGACTTTGCATTGCAGCCTGTTGATGTGAGTGGGTGAACCTATCAAATCTGACATCACTCCTTAATAAAACTCTTACCCTGCCTGATAAATAAAACCAAACCATGAAAAAACCCCACAAGGGCATAAGGTGCCTTCCAACCACTGCAAAAGCTCCCAGCACACTTCACAGCCCCAAATCCAACAAATGCTGCACACATACACCACTCTTCCATAACATTGTTCAGTACAGAGGTTTCCATGAAGTTCTGCCTTACACTCAGTTGTTTACTCATTTCTTGTTAATTTAATAGATAAAAATCTCACTGAAACACTGAGATATGTAACAGAGAGGAAAGCTGACATTTGTTAAGTAACATTTGGGATGCACCTCCGGTTTCTCAGCAATAATTTGAGACTGGGCACAGGCCTCTGGTAATGGGCTGCAGATCCCAGAAGCTTCAGCTTGTCTGCTGGGTGACTTGGCAGGTCCTGCTGCCCACCCTCCATCACACCACACTGAAGGCATTACCTGTGCTAATCATACACTACACAAATGCACCAGCCTGGTGTTATAATCACTGTCTGTCACTGAGCTGTCAGTTTTAGTCAGCAATGATTTCAGCACCTTATTTACAGCCTGGCTAAAGCACACTGCCCTGGTCTAAGTTACTGACTGGGGCAGTGCTCCGTGGCAGATGCTGTGATCTGGGATTTTTTCCAATGTCAGCAATCACAAAACCTAGAAACTTATCCTCCTTTTTGCCCATTTCTTTAAGTGTAAAGAGGAGAGTCGCTGATAATGAAATAACCTATTCTTTTCTCAATGACAGAAATACTATCCTGAGTATATTGAGAATACCTTAATCTACTTACAGCGATGCAAATTCAATCAACTCAATTTCCCCAACAAATTCAGACAAAGACAGAACAATTTAAAGGTTTGTAAAGGAAAGGCTTTTAATTATCTAGTCTATTGTCTTCCTTATCATCAGCTACAGGGCTTACCTGAATTAACTTGTGTTACAATAAAGGCACCCATTATAAAAAGAAACATCCAGGCCCTATCTTACACATTTGAACATTTGTTTCTGCATCTCGATTCAGCTGGCAGCCCCTGGAGTTTGTGAAATCAGTTGATACCAGAGGTATCCCTCATGACAGTTCTGCTCACCCCACGAGCAGACTCTTGCTTTGATAAGCTGAACACACTGACTTTCCTGAATTAGTCCCCATGAAGTGCCTGCCACAATACAAGGCATTTGCAAAGCTGTTCTTTAGAGCCTGTACAGTTTCTTTAAATATTCGTCTCAAATTGTGGCCACAGCAGTTGCAGGGAAAAAATGAGACAGACAGAACCTCTCTCCTCCTACTGAAGTTTTCTTCTATTTATACAGCCAGGAACAGTCTTTATTTCTATCATCATGGTGAGATCTCTTAAAAGCCCCAAGTCTTTTATATTGTACCTGATTCCCAGAGGAGAATTTTCTGCTTTGTAAGATTTGTCTCTTGGAAGGCCAAACCAAATATATTTGAGGGCAGTACCTGATATAAACTATTACCTGCCTGCAGAGGACAATTTACCAAAGCTTGCAGTTATTTCTGTTCATGAACTTTCACATGACATGTGAGAACTGAAGATTAGACATTTATCAAAGTAGTAACATATTATCTGCTTTTAAATAAAAAACATTAGAATATGCATCAGATTAGTATTTAAAATGAATATTGTGCATTATGCTGCAAATTGAGGTGTTCACATGATGTATTTTACAAACTCCAAACTGCACTACGTAGCTCCAATTGCAGCTGGAGCAAGAGTCAAATGTGGTGTAACTTCTCATATTATCCTTTCTTCCAGTTTCACATACCAGTATTTGTTAATTCTACAGAAGATAAGACTTTGCTGCCTAGGTGATGCAAGATGTGAAAACAAGTAGGAATTATTCTCTGTGCCTACCTAGGAATCTCTCTGTTGCCATCAGAACTAGAAAGTGAGGTTGTTTGAGTAAAGCAGAAGAGCTTTGAATGGCAGCCAGAGAACTCAGTGCCATTTAGGGAAGCATTGCTCCTAACAACAGGCAGCCAGGCTGAGCCAGACCCAGGCAAGCCTTAAAGCTGACTTAACTCTTTCATACCTAAAATTTCCTTCGCTGACAGCAAAGCTCAAAGTGACCCAAGGATGAGAAGATTTTGAATAAAATGCCAAGGGGTTCAGTTTTATGTGGTTTTGAGAGGGAACATTCAAGCTCTGGAACAGCACTAACACAAGGCAGGGCTGATGGAAGGGATCCCTTGAGATGGTCAGGCAGGGTCAGCTGAGTGGGTTGCCCAGGATCATGTCCAGTCAGGTTTTGAGTATCTCCCCAGATGGAGATTCCACAACCACTTTGGGTGACCCCTTCCAGTGTTTAATGGTATTTTACTGCATGGGCTAAACGTGCTATAAGCAGTTCTGAGGGAGCTACATCTACTGCCTGGATTCTGCCTGCATGGAGCTATCTCCTAAATACAGAAAATACAGACACAGATAAAATGAAAACACTCACTAAAATGAAAGTAGTTCATCAGACCTTTGAGTAATTCACCATAAAAACATAAATTTTAGTTTTCCTCCTCAGAGGAAGAGTTTCTTGGTAGGTGTTAGTATCGCTCTTGGGCGGGGTATTTTTCTACTTTATGCTTTACAAATGATATCTAATGAATGTTTTAACAGCAGGATACACTCGTAAGTTCACCGCTAATTCACATTCAAGCAAAAAAATGCAACACTATCACTGACTGTCTAAGGAATGCAGGCACCTGAGGGTTTAAAATTTAGCCCTTGATCCCTGAAACATGTGTGGACATGCCAAACCCCCTGCACTCGTGAGCCACCTCAATGCACTCAGTTTACTCTTGGCCAAGCATTTAAGAGGTTGGTGTGTTTACAGGGCTGGGGTGTTACTGAAAAACATGTATTCAGATATCCTGGAACGTAAATAAATGAGAGATTTTGTTCTTCTAGGAAATCTGGCTGGAGGTATCCCTAAATTCACTGTACTTCAAATCAAAATGCTTCAGAAAGTTAGGTTGATAATACTGATACTGGATATCAGGAGATGCTTATTTGTGTTGCTCCCTTATCTTCCAGAGAGGCACTGCATCCATGTATCTTTTTAATATGAGTCAGGAATTTAGTAATGACAGGACATTCATATCTTATTATGAAGGAGCATTCAGACTAGGATAAAAAAGGTTTCAGTCAACAAAAGATGGTTACAAATATTGTAGCAGCTACTGATGCTCTAAAATAAAAAGTCCTATCTTTTGTTGAAGTTTGGAAAAATATTGAAATCTACTTACTGTTTCTAAAGAAATTAGGTCATTTGCTCTGTATTTTAAACCTCTTTGACAAAATTTCTCCAAAAAGGTAAAACAATGTGTCTTTTAAAATCATTTGAGCTGTTTATCACTAGGACCAATTAAAAGGCTGTTTTAAATTACAAGAAAACAAACCTCTGAGTTTGCTGAATCTTCACTTTCTTGTTGTGATCACAGAAGGAGACTGCAATAACTTTATTTTCTACAAATCAATATTAAAAAGTCAGCCTTTAAAAGCTCCCCTTACGAAGGTGCATTGAGCTGTTCAGAAGAAAAGGTATCCAAAATCAGATCCAATTGATATTTTCTTCTGTGAGAGCACACTTACCTAAATTGCTGTACGTGGCACTGCAGGTATTTAAGTTGGGAGAACGTGGAGCTTCTTCTTTCTCCTCCTCCCCCTGGGGAGGACGCGCCGAGGACACGGGAATGATGGAGGCGCTGCCACCATTGTCCTGCTTCACAAACACGGCTCTGGGGACACGAGGGGACAAGTCCTCCAGGGTCGTGTCATCGGGCACTTGACTGAAACAAAGAGGACAAAAATCACCTGGAGGTCAAAGCTGGGCAGGAGATTCTCCTGGCAAAACACCAGGTGAGGCATTTTCAGGAGGGGGAATGAACCGGTGAAGGAACAAGTTCTTTCGCCCTCCTTTTTTTAAGGACAATTTTCTACAGTTTTCCTTCCTGAGAAGAAACAACTTGTGACTGAAATAGTAACGTGTTAGTTACTATTATACTAATTATAATAATCCATGGAATATAATAATTCATGCCTTTGATAGCAAGGCATAATAAAATGTTTTACAGCTTGGCTACAATCAGCATCCGTGCACATCCATATGCAGGCGTGACCCCGGGTAAAATGTGTGGGACTCAGGACAGCAGCAGAGTTTGAGGTGCTTTTTACCAATTGGAACAACTGTGCTTTAACCAAAGATAACAAGGTATAGCAAGGGGGGTTAAATCTCAAAAAATAATGATAGATTTTCATATACTGGTAGGATTTTGGGAACTGACACTTTGGGCAACACATCTCATCTAAGCCATGATTAAAATCCACCTGCATTAGGCCAACTGCAAAAGGCCATGAACACATTCCTCTGTGCCTGCTCTTAGCTAGGAAGTTTCAATCAAATTGTGATGACTTATTGAGCACAAAGCTCTGAAAATTGTGGATTTAATCAGTTTCCACGGATATATTTATTGCAGTATAATTTTAAAATTATGCATTATATGTATGAAAAAATGGTCGAGATTTAATAAAAACCCCCTAATCCTATTGAAAATATAGCAGCAATTATCAGTAATATGCCACAAAAACATGTTAGAGCAAAAATATTTCCATGCCTTTACATTCTCTCACTCACAGAAACAAATACTCATTACAGCCAAATGTGCTGTTCTCTAGTTCTCATTCCTATAGCCTGATCAAATTCAACAGCAAGAATTTTAACTACTTGTGACTTCCATAAGGGGCAGGAGTAACACACTTCCATCAGGAGATGATCACCACATCATGTATCTGTACAGAAACTTATTTTTTGTGCTAAACATTTAAAACTTTAACATAAATTATAGGCATATTTCTCTCTATGGCAAAGCCAAAATCCTGGAAAACATGGTACACAATCTTCTAGCAATCCCTGACTGCAAAGGTTAAAACATGCCAGTCCTTTGCATGACACGAGCCCCAGGACAGTGCAGTGAGCACATGCTGTTTCTGCTCAGACTCATGAATTTGAACTGCAGGCTGACACAAACCAAACTCATTAGAACTTGTTAGTAAAAGAGAAAAAAATGGCATAAGTTCAAAAAGATGTAATCTTTAATCAGCAAAACCTTTTTTTGTTCCATTTTAGTACCATGCATAGGAATGGTGTGAGGAACATTCCATGTGCCATAAATATATCCACATTAAAGAGTTAACCTACTGTAATTTCAGAGTAAAGCAGACATAAAATTAAAGCAGTAACGAGGCTCTCAAGATGAGGAGAAATTTAACTACAGACTTGTAAATGCTGTAAATAATATACATACCTGCATTCCTCAACAGGAATGTTTTCTTTAAGAAGAAATAGGTTCTAACAGCTTTACAGTTCTGTCATTGCCACAAACCAGAAGTTATCACATCTCAGAGTAACTTTTTTAGTATTGCTTGGTGAGGTACAGAACATACTCATTCTCCAAACCAGTCACATGCAAGCACATACACTAAACCTAAGCTCAGAAGCCATTTGCCAAAGTAAACCAACAGCTAGAAAGGAAGAAAGGAAAAAAAAATACCAACTCACCCACTGTACTCACTCACACAATTCCCCATTAAAGGAAATTCTTTCAGGGCCTTCTTGAGTCTTTTAATCATGTCTTGAAACTCTGGCGAGCCATTGATTCCACAGTGTTCTGGTGTGCTACAAGTTGTGCAAGCTGTGAGCAAGGGCTGAACTCTGCACAGTGATACACCTACTGCACCTTCTGTTTACCTTGGGGCTGGGCCCCGCCAAAGCACCCCAGGCAGCCCCAGCCCTGCCTCCTTAACTCTTCCACTGCCTCCCTGAAGGAAATCCAGTGCACAGGCTGCTACATCACTGCTCTGGAATGACAGCTATGGCCTTAGTCATGGTATTACTTAAGGAAAAGCACGTTCAAGTTTCAAGAGGAGTTTTAAGAACTAAGACCAACCTACTGTTAAAAGTAAGTGAGTATCTCAGACCTGCAGTCCGTGCCTCAAAAGAATACATTTGAAAGCCCAGCAGTTCGATGGCAGGTCATGAAATCCATGGGGAAATGCTTTCCAGGATCTTAACACCAAGACTGAGCGACCCAGCTCATGGACACACAGTGCAGAGACCCAGCAACCCTCCATCAGAGCTGGCAGGACACAGGAGGAACAGAGGGGGAAACCATCCTCACTCAGGGAGCTACAAGAACCGAATTCCCAGTTGCTTTTGCTTCATGAACGAAACAGTTAAAACAACCAGTTTTCCAGAAGAGAAGAGCAGCTGATAAACGAGCAGTTCTCTGAGATTAGAACCATTAGAGCCTGATTTTCTATCTGCTTGTTGGTAGCAAGTGATACTTAAAGCTATCTCCTTATTTGGGATATTTATAGCTATTTTGCCAGGATGGATTCTTTGATGCCTTGCATAAGAGCACATATTTAGCTTCTACCATAGTGGGCGCAGCCTCCTCTGTCCAAGTCTTTTTTTTTTTTCCCTTTCTTATTTCAAAAACAAACTTCATAGGAAATTAATTATCTTAGAGAACTCTGCTCCTTCGGGCACAAGAGGCTGACACTAAACAACTATTCAGTTACTGGAGGAAGCAGCCCTCTGCACGCAGAGAGCACGTTTGTTTTCCTAAGAAGCTGAGATTATGTGCAGCAAAAAAACTTGCCATAAAAATGACTGTCCTTCAGAAAACACCCCACTGAATTCACATACTTGTCATTCACATGTGCACAAGCTCAAAACTGTTTTAAAAGTGTTATTTTTCTGCAGGGACAAATGCCCCTAACTCCTTCCTTCAGGCTCTCCTCCTTCCCAGTTCTTGGAGGATTGCCAAAGGATGGTGTGGTCTAACTTGTCTCAGTCTTTTGGGAACAGCAGAATCCAGAAAGCTGCCTGTGTAGTGTGTTAATTCTGGTGAGGCCACTGGAATCACAGCTATTGTGTGACCTGTGTTTTCCTCTATTCAGAGCACACCTACTCAATTACAGTGAGTAATAAACAGCAAGGAATAGGAGGGAGATAATGTGCAATGCTTATAAGTGACTGTGAGAGTGTATTCCTCAGTGAGGGTCAGGTCTAGAGGCCAGGCTGAGGGAGCACAGTTCTGTGCAAGACAGCAGATAAATCCCAGGGGCAGGAATTAGTGACAAACACAGAGAAAAGCTGATGTGGCCTTGGACCCAGCAGAGACCTGATCCCCTCCCCGGGCGTGCACCAGCACAGCAGCAGCCACTGGCAGCAGGGCAGTCGGGGATGACAAGGAAGATGACTCAGTTTTACACACACACAGCACCAACTGTGCAATTTGTACGTATATTTAGTGTCAAAGAGAGCACTCTGAGATCCCCTCAGGCCCTACACTTGTAAGGTAATAAAGCCAATCTAAAGCCTACACTGACTGAATAATGCTGGAGAAAAAATGCAGAGAGGTTAATGAGTGGAAGGAGGTCAAAGGCCACCTTACCCAGTAACTTCTACTCATAACACACTTTATTCCTGCAAAACACTGAGCAGAGCCCATCAGTGCCCAGGTTCCAGGGTGCACTCTGGGTACAGAAAACATTCCAGGGGCTCCTGCAGTTCAGTTCCTCATCACCACCATTAGCCAGGAACAGTCACCCAAGAGGAAAGTGAAACAAACTTCTAAAATGACAACCTGAAACAGCTAAGCCATAAAGTTCCTAATTCTGATTATTTAGAAGCTGGCTTAGTCCTGAAGTATGAGAATTTATATTATTTTTTTTTCCCCAAGTCTTGTATAATGTGATGTTTGCATGGATAAAGGGTATACATTTGATAATCCAGTAAAGACATCCTGCTAAGCTCTTTAGTGTCACTGAAACTTAATGGCAATGAGTTCCACAGATTAACTGTGCGTTATGAAAAATATATTTTTCTTTATCCATTTTAAGTTCTCGCTCTTTCCATTTTACAAACTGTATTAGAGGAGTTAAGAACAATAATACAAGATTTACCATTTCTTAATCTAAATTTATAAAATAATAAATGGTAAAATCCCTTCTACTTGGTTCCTTAGCAGTCTTTGGTGTTTACGAGTTCTCACAGAAAACGTTACCAAACTTATTGCTTAATGCACACACAGCACTTCCAATTCTGTCAGCATGGAGATGTTCTAGAGGAAAATCTCACAAGTTTTTAATTGATGAAATAGTGTAAGATAAATGGCTAATGCTTTTAAAAGCACTGCTGAGTAAGGTAGATAAAGCTTGCTGATATCCAGATAAAAGCAAACCAACAGAGATTTGACAAGAAGGGAGAGCTGATCCACCTAAAATTTCTCCCATTTCAGTAGAGTTGCTCAAGCAAGAAATTTCTTTTCATCTATAACATCCTTGCATTCTCCTCATCAATTTGTGCAAGCTGTACTTGAAAGGTTTGGGATTCAGGTGAGAACCTCACCCTAAGAATTAAGACCAGAGCTCCTCCAAACTGGGAGGGACTTTGTTTTAAAGGGAGCCCTTCTGTGATTTGACAGATTTTGTTATCTTCCCAAGTAGTTCCTGAAGCAGCTGTGGAATCTGCAGGACTGGATCAGTGACAATGCTGGAGTGGAATGTGGCAGTGGTGGTTATTCCTGCCTATCTCTGGATGTAACCCTGATCTTATATGACCACATTTTTGAAGAACAACAATTCCCAATGTTTTTACTGAGTGATCCATCACAACATTCCTATTCCTCCAGACACAGAGCTCAGATCTACTGGTTACGAACTCAAAGCCTTTTGCAAAAGTTAACATAATTTTAGGAATTAGATTGGTAATCCCAACTTTAGCTTCCTTACCTGAACCAGAACAAAATGAATATACAGACTTCACTACCTGAAGGGAGTATTTCAGGAAACACACAGTTTGATCTTTACTTCATCCAAGTCTGGGCCAAAGATCCCATAAAGGAAAGTTATGGCTGACTTGAGTCTGTGAAAGGAAAGTCTTTGTTTGATGTGTAACTGCAGTGGGGTGGCCGTGCACAGGGCACTTGCACTGGGATTAGCAAAGCTCTGCCACCTAAAGCAGTGAGGGAAATGCAGGATTGGCAAAGCTCTGCCACCTAAAGCAGTGAGGGAAATTCAGGATTGGCAAAGCTCTGCCACCTAAAGCAGTGAGGGAAATTCAGGATTGGCAAAGCTCTGCCACCTAAAGCAGTGAGGGGAGCTGGGCTCTGAGGGTGATTCAGTTCAGCCCTTCATGCAGACAGCCAAGGGAGCAGCAGGACACTGAGCTGCACTTTGCTTTTGGGAAATGTCTCAACCTAAAAAGCTGCTGCTGGGTGTGAGCAGAGATGTCTCAATGAAGGAGAGGAGAAGCCTTAATCTCGTGAAACTCCAATGGCAACGCTCTGATCTATGAGATAACAAAGCCTTTGAAGAATCTTTTTATTAAACTTGTGATGAGTGGATTGCACACTGTGCTGTACCACCTCCATCAATTACAGTGACTCGGGCCAGAAATATCATCATGTTATCCTTCTAGAGGTCAATTTTAGGTTTTGCCTGAGAACAACTGCTGCTTCATGAACTACAGGTGTTCTGAGAACACCTGATTTTCATTCCAATTAATGGCAAAGCTGAGGTGACTGCTGATTTTTAGCACAAATTAATCCATCTACAAATTTTTGGCAAATTTAATATATCATTTGCTAGCTCCTTTTGAACCAGCATATGTGTGTCCTGGCATCAAACAGAAGGAAACAATCACATGGATAAACCAAAACTAAGTTCCTTTGGATAACAGAGAGATAATTTTCAGCTTTCCAAAGAACTGAGTATTTTGCAAGTGCTGTTCAAAGGAAAAACTGCCCTTTCTAGTGATAACTTCAAATACACCTTCAGTCCTTTTGTGGTTATCAATCTTCAGCAGCTTTGTAAGACATTGCAAAGTAAGTAAATACTGCATCTTATTTAATTTGCTTTCAAGACCTCCCAGTAATCTGCCATTTTTAAAGCTTATCTTATTTTCCAGGTCATCAGTTTGGGTTTTTTTTCAGTGAGTTTACTGTTCTTGGCATCCTGAGTTAGGGAAGTGTCCTGTTCACTGATCAGTATCTTCAGCTCTTCCATTCTCCTCTAAGCCTCTGCAAGCTTAGCCCAAGATTTTCAACATCTTTGTCATGCACTTATTTTAGCCTGAATTATCACCAACCTCATAGTAATACCTGAAGAGCTCACACAAACCAAGCATAGCATCTCATCAGTTATGTCTCCTGCTTGTGCAAAAATGGAATTTGGCAATCCTGATTCTCACCTACTGGGATATTAAAAACAAAAGCCAAACCCCTTAAAAATCAACAAAAAAACCCCTCATTTTTTTGGCACTATAAGGTTTCACTTGGTCTTTTTAAGACTATTAAAAATTAATTAAAAACCCCAAATAACTCAAGGCATCAAAGTACCTGAATATAAAAACTAAAGGATGAAGCTACTGACTGTCCAGTGTTCCCACAATGTATTTCTGAGCATCTCAGTGTATTTCCTTTGATATGTGTAGAAACAATAGGACAATATTGTCAGAAAGGAGAAATTCCAGTTCTAACATTTGGGAGACTCCCATTTTCACCAGGAAAAACTCAGAGACGTGGTTTTAACCAGTATCATTGTAACTTGCAGAAAACTAAAGAGCAAACATACTTTTTGGAATAAGTGAATAAGACAGAGCAGTGACAAATTGCCTTCAAAAGGGAGGGCAGAAGGTGCTCCAGTCACAGGGCAAGAATATCACACATTCCAACAGCACCATCTCCAGGGCAGTGCAAGAATCAGGAACTCTTCCTGCCCTCTCCCCACTGGCAGAAGCAGCTGCTCCTCCCTGCCTGTCCCCTGGCACACCAGGGAGTTGATCTGGCTGAAAAATGCCTGCAAAGTTGTTTCCCTCTTGGATCCCTTCCCCAGTCTGGCTCAGCACAGGTGACCACATGGACTGTCCTGGCAGCACAAGAGGGGGCACTGGGGAGCTGGGAGCAGGAGAATCTCCTGATGGCAACGCAATCAAAACCAACCTCACTTTCTCCAGCTTCCCCTGGATACATGGGAAAAAAATGGGTTCCTGTAAAGGGGGTCGAAAGCACAAACTCCTCCAATTCTTTAACCTGCCCTAAAGCTGCCTACTTCTCCCCATTTAATTTGGGGCAAGTCTAGAGAGACTGCACTCTGACCAAGGGTTGCTAGTAATTTTCTTGTGTAGAGAGTGGAGAAAGAAAACCAAGTTATTTTACTTTAGGACAAGTGGCAATCCGTTTATGGTAAACTCTAACTGTGCTCACCCAGTGATTTCTGTTAGCTTAAGTCAACTTTAAAACTACCTTAACTAAGAAACACTGCAGCTTTCTTATACAAAATATGGAGGAAGAAAACCAAAGAGCACTGCCATGATGCATTTTCTGGGGCTCACACTTAGCTCACACTTTACAACATTTTTAATTTCCTACCATTAGGTTATTGTTGTAATGAATTAGATAATGCAAGTTTGAAGGTACTTTGGGATTGGTTTGTGTAATAACACTGGAAGACATATTCTAACAGATCCCCAGCTGTGGTCAGCACTCAGGGAAATGCACACTGTGCCCATGTGACTGGTTGCAAATGATGCTGTGACCAGCTCTACTGCACCTAATCCTGCTGGGGGACAAAGCATGTCCACTGCTAAAGGCCTTGCAAGACAGAGGTAAGGTTATTTTATAGGTACTCTAATTTTTTCCATGGTTTATTTTGGGATGCTGCAGTGATGTTGCAGTGCAGCATCAAGCTGAGCACTGCACCTTTCAAGAGCCACAGATTTTTAATTTCTGTTGTACTTTTCAATAGTTGCCTTCTCTTTCTGCAGAGAAATTCTCTGGTTTCCCCTAACATACAAGCACTTTCTTAAAGTAAAAATTCAGGAGAATGGATCTGATTCAATGGAACATGGCTATTGTGACACATTAGTGAACCTCCAAGACAAACTGCAAATATCAGCTACTGCTTCTAAAAAATTTTTAAGAACTTTTCTGATATCCAACATAATGGAGAGATTCTTAAAACATGCTCTAAGTTACCTAAAGCAAATATACTTTGAAAAAATTACACTTAATGTAGCAAAACCCCTCAGTTCCCCCCTTTTCAGCAGTAAATACAGGACAGTTCACAACTGAGTAAGTAAGCGACTGACAGAGCCGAGCGGAGTACCTGGGGATTTTCTTGGGAACCTGAGGTGGTGAGGAATGGCTCGCTGGGTTCTGTTCAGAGCTCTCGGGAGGCTTTTCCAGCACTTCTCCTTTGTCTTTTGCCAGTGCCTCTGCGATGGCAGACTCCACTCCCCCCTTGGGTGGGAGGTCAGCCTTCGGCTCGGCCGGCGCCGGCTCACAGCGGTACATGAAAACGATGGAGGGCTTCTCGCTGGAGTCCGACTTGGCCTCGCTGAACCAGTGATGCCGCTGAACTGGGGGAGGGGGGAGCATGTGGATGACAGTTCCATCCAGACCCACCAGCTTCCCTCTCTCTCTCTCCTTCTCTTTGTCCTCCTCATCCTCGGGTTTCCTGCGGCGGAAGAAGCTCTTGAACGATATCCAGCGCTTGGGTTTCGCGTCGGCGCGACGCCCCTCCGAGTGCAGGATCGACTCGGCCTCCGTGGACCTGGTGGGGCTGGTGGGTTTGGTCCAGTTGCTGAAATGTCTTTGCAGCAAGTTACTGGCGTGGTAGGGCGAGGAGGTGGAGCGTGGGGGCGGGAACGGCGGTGCCTGCTCTGCCTGAGGACTCGTGGCACTCGGGGTGGCTCGCGCTGGCTTTGGAGAGGGAGTGGCAGCCAGCTGGGACAGCGGATCTTTCGGCACCTTCCCAGCAGTGCTTTCCGCCGTCTTGGAGGACTCTATTTCAGGCTGTGACGTAAACAGAGATTTGGGTCGTACCAGGGTGCTTTTAGGAGTGTCTCCCTCCGGAGGTAAGGAATACAGTTCTTGTACACTACAGGACTTGGGTCCAGACTGAGGTGTTTCTGGAGGAGATTGTGGAGGCTGGATAGAAGCCACAATCTGTGAGAGCACCGTGCTTGCATTCTCTCTGCCACCACTGCTGCCAACAGAACCCTCTGGCGTTACGTCTGTTTTTGCTGCAGGCTCTTGTGTTGCCTTTTGAGCTTTTGATGGGGAGCTGTGGTCAGCACTGTGACTTCTCTGTGGGGATATCTGGCTTTTACTGAGACAGCTGTTGAACTCTTGGACCTTTTGAGCCACAGAACCCAGCCTGCACTCAGAGCTATTCGTCACCCCCTTTGGCTGGGACAACTCAGTGGGTTTACTGCCTATGGCTTCAGTTATTGTACTTTCTGTTTCTATTTCCTCATATGTATGGCTTATCACACTGGTAGTTTTATCTTTGATGGACAGCTCCCCGCTGGTCCCTAGAAAACTTTTATAGATAGCCAGGTTATCATAAGCGTTCGGATTGATTACAATAGGAACTTTAATAGCATTTTTGGAACTCTTGGCATAAGTGGGCTCATCATGAATGATAATAGGAAAAGGTGGCATGCCAGCATTGTTGTAGCTGTTGAATTTTATCTCAGATAAATTGGGAGACTTAACCGGGATAGTTTTTGAAGAAATGTTTGTAGCTGTAGGTGAAGTAGGAGCTGACTTGTGGCTTGTCTTCCTGGGAGGAACGGAAGGTCCTGAGCTGTTTGCAATCAGCTCCACCTTAGGTATCTTCTGTCTTGGACTAGTACTAGAAGTCCACACTTCCTGGTACCTGATTGCACTGGATTTTTTCAGGTTAGCATTGACACGTACAGGTGATGCTGCAGAGGATGCAACAGGTGTGCCTGGAGTTACTGGTGAGCTTGGGTTAGATGATGCATTTTTGGTTTCTGAGGTTTCGGTCTGATTCTCCTTACATTCATTGGTCATGGCAGCTGATACATCTACTACAGTATATGGCTTGCACACTGGCTGTTCCATGTTCACCACCCTGTAAGGTTTAGCTTGCTCCTCCACGGGCACCAAATTAATAGTTACTGCTTGACCAGCAACATCTGAAGAACTTTTATTCTCTTGCTTATCAGTCTGCACAGCAATTTTGCCATCCTTCTCCTCCAGTCGAAGCGCAAGGACTGCCTTGTGAGTTTCTAGACTTTTTGGAGCATTTCTGGGCGCTTTTGACACATCCTTCACTTGCTGATCGTCACAAAGACTTTCGTATTCCGGTTCAATCAGTTTGAGGTCCTGAGGAGTGCTGGGAGACAACCCTCCATTACAGAGCTTCTGGGAAGAACTGCTCGTTGTTCCGGAACGAGACTCTTCTGTCAGAGAAGAATCAGGAGACGTGGAATCAGACGATACCATGCTCTGCATGCTCTCTTGCCCATAGAGAATCACAGCCTCTTCCCCATAACCATTTAAAATTTCATCATAACTGTCGTCATAATCCACTGCACAGATCCGCTGCAGAGACTTGTTCCGAAGGGGCACAGTGTTCCATTTTTTGTCCACGCAGAACGGCACAGGAGACAGGGTGTTAGCTCTGAAGTTGGCAAAGCGGGGCTGGCCCCTCATGCGAATTTCCATCGCTAGCAACTCTTCATCACTCTCGTCCCAGCTCTCATGCTCTTCCTGCATGCTGCCAAAAAACGTGTCATCCTCACTCTCATCTCCGCTAGAGAACTCTGGATAACAGAAACGTCCACCTTCATTGCTTATTACTTCAGTGCTTCCACTCAGAATAACGTGCTTACTCTGTGAATCCTTCATTCCACCCACCATGCAGCTCGGAGGGATCTTTCTTTCTAATGACCTTTTATAGCAATTATTTATCCTCCCCAAGAAGGTTTCTCTTGAGTTCGTTTCATTGCCGGTGAGCTGAGGTGCGGTGTCCAAACCTGCAATCTCCTTCAAAACTTCTGTCAGTCCGTTATTATTGTTATTTGGTATCTTCCCCACCCCCTCGTTGCTGCCGTAAGGCCTGGAGACGTGGCTGTAACCTTCGATTTCCTCTTCGTTGTTGTTGTTGTTCAGTGGTTTTTTGTTCAAGGCCGCTTTGTTTCGGTTCCACCCCGCGGGCAGGGCTTTGTTCTCCCCCTGCTCCAGCGTGCTGATCTCGGCACACACGCCCTGCCCATCCACCACCATCATGGTGGGTTTCACAGCTATGGTGGGTTTCTTGGCCACGGGCGGTCGGAAGTTCCCGCTGTTCCTGCCCCGCTGGCTGTTGCTTTGGTTTGCATTGGGTTTCAGGTTTCCATGCGAGAGGGGCTTCTTTTCTGACACGGGGGGTAACTGGTGCAAGCTTTTGGGCTTGAAGCAGTTCTTACATTCGCCGGGTTTCCAGACGTGCTCAGTGAAAGTGTTGCAAGCAGACATTTTCCCGGAGCCCTGCGCTTGGTGCCGTGCTGCTCAGTGCATGGTAAGCATTTCAGCCATATGTTTCCACTCTGCTCACGTAGGACGGCCACTCCTTCGAGCACTGATCATGCTGGAATACAAAAGACAATGAGGATGAGAACAGGGAAAAATCTGCTTGATCACTATACTTATATTTTCTGCACTATGGACGACTTGGAAGCAGCCTTTTGCTGATGCGTCTCTCTTCTTACATAAATTTATGAAACCATGTAACTGAAATGTAAAAGCAAGTTGCAAATATCATTCTTCTCATACATAAAGAATTAAAACTTTGGCAGCTAAGCCCTGTGTTACTGAAAGCAGAGAGAGAGAGAGAGTGTGAAATGCCAATGACTGAGACTTCAAAGTAATTCCCTTGACTAGTTCAGGACCATTGACCTTTAATTTTGTCCAATAAAAAAATGCAGGAAGAGGATATAAACCTAAAGATTAGTGCACATTGCTTTCACCAGAACTACTTAAACATGAGACAGAAAACTAAGAGCATGTTTACTCTCCTAAATGCAATTGAGAGAATTTGTTTTAGCTTTGAATGTGAACAAGCTCAGCTTAAGTGAGAAAACATGTTCAAGCAATTCCAAACTCTGCCATTTTAGCACTTCTTTCATCAGAGTCAAATGATAACTGGAGACGTATTTTGGCTGAAGGGACAGGCTGGACTGATGTCCTGGAAAAGTCAGATAAAAATACTGTGGAAATCTTTCTAGAAAGTCACTGTTTTTTCTCCTTTTGCTTACCACAGTGGCCATAAACCATTCTGATATCCTCAAAACAAAGCCATGGATTTTTAGTCCCTGATTTGTTTCACATGTAGCTTTTCTACCTAACCCCTCCAGAAATAACAATTGAAGAAGAACTGAAAATCTCTTTCAAAGTGAATCTTTTTATTTCCTGAAATGATCAGCCCTAAGTAAAAATCAAACACGAATCTGCTGTGCTTTATAGACACTGGAGTATGCAGGATTTGAGAGTTTCATGAATTAATGCCTGAAGATTTTAAGCCTCCTGAGCCAAATCCGCAAGTCTGTTCTCTTCGTCACTGTTGCATAACTCAAATTATTGGAGAGATTTCACTGAGGTGAAAGAATCTGTACGTCCACTGCTACTGCTGTAAAGACAGGCACTGGAAATCAGTAATCTTCTATTCTCACAGACCTTCAGGAGGAAATATCCTTGCTGCTCCCCCAGCTGCACTGAGAGGGCATTGATAAAGCCCTGTGGCCCCAGATGCAGCTCTCCATGGACAGCTGTGCTGGAATTCACCACAGGCACAACTGGCTTTCATCAGCGTGGCAAACAACAGCCTCATTAGCAGAGCTGACACGAGCAGGGATTTGTCAGTCTCCTCACGTCCTGCTCTGGGTTTTGGCAAGGGGCTGTCCTGTGCTGGCAAACCAACAGAGCCATCCCGATCCAACAGCAGATGGGGCTGAAGCCTAACTCTATTAGTGTCTTCAGACACAGCCGTGCTACCAGGGCTATCATATTTCATATGCTGACTAAATATGTTTCCAGACAAAGCTTTTTGCCAAAAAGTCGGTGCCAAAAGCTTTCTCTGTATGACCTAAGAGATAGAAAGCCTGCCAGGCTGAGATCTGCCTTTATTTTATATATACAGAGTAAAATGCCTTTGTATGTTTTTCGATCTCTCTCTCAAGATTTGTTGCTTCAACACTTTGCAAGCCCATATATTGTAAGCAGACAAATTACATTAAGAAACAATTCCCCTAAAACCAGAGAGAGAGCACACATACTACAATTTTATACTCTGGTTAGCTCCTTCCTTTCATGTGTTTAACAAATAAAAGGAGTAAAGTTACATTAATGGGAATCTAAACTAAATGGTTTTTTTTTAAAATACAGTTCTCCATTACATAAAAGCTCTGAACAAACAATTTAAACAACAGGCTTTGTGTGTGTGTGTGTGCTTTAAGATTTCACCTGGTGATATTATTTCTCTGAAATTGCATAAGCTGCACTTGCTCTGGAACCCCATCAAAAGTCAGAGAGCTTTATGGTGTTCCAGGCTAAGGAGAGCCAGGGTAGCAATGGGAAAGCTCTCTGCTGCACATTTGTGGTACCACTGGCTGTGCTGTGATGCTGTTCCCTCTCACTCCCTCAGACACACGGATGCTGAGCAGCTTCCCTCGAAGCCAAAGGAGATCTACACCCCACACGTGAATGGGAACTGCAGGAACCTCAGCAGAACCACAGCACTCCAGTGGGAATAACACCTCCAGCAGGGTGACAGCTCTGTGCAAACATTCACCCCATGTCCCAGCACAGTCAGATACCTGGGGACTGTGGAAATGCAGATGTGTGACTGGTACACGGAAAATCCATAAGCCATGTGTAGGTATTTCAGATCTTTTGCTCTCCAACAGCCAACAGAGCTGCTTTAAACACAACCACGATGCCCAAGATGATTTGTGACACAGTCTGAGACAGAAGAGGCACTGAGTCCCTGGGTCTGGGAAGCCCAGCTGGGTTTCCAACTGGCTCAGGCACCCGCAGGACGAGCAGTTCCTGCCACATGCCCTGACACTGCCTGCAGCTGCAGCAGAGAGGAAACAGGCACCTTCCAACCAGAGGAAATGGATCTTAAGAAAACAAAAAAAACAATTCAAACATTGTGCTACTTTTGTACTTGGAAATCAGCAGCACTCCTACGCTATTTCAAATCAAATCCACAGTGACCTTTATAAGTCAAAACAAGCATTTGCATGCTAAAACAAACTGAGACAGTTTCTTCCTTTGTGTACAACTAAAAGCAATCTTTCGGCTGCTTTCCTATCTCTTTAAAGATAATACATTTGCTTTTTCATCTGCAGATTCCCTATTATGAGTGATAATTACGGTAAGAGTGATTAAGAGTGATAACAGAAATGAAATCTTCTTTCGGCAGGCTGTCACCGGCAGCTGCAGCTTGGCAGGGGGCAGCAGAGGCCATCGAAGGGAAGGAAAATGTACACAAATACATGGAAACAATCACCCTGACACTGTTCATTGCTGGATTCCTATGCTACTCTCCAAAACAAAGCAGGTCAACAAGAGATCCAGGCACTCACACCTCAGATCTCTTCAGCTGCTACTGATCAGGAATCTTTTCTTCCATAACTTTCCTGCTTCCATGGCAGCCTATGAACCAATGGAATAGGAATGTGCACTCTGCAGAGCTCCTGGCTCTTCTGCAATGAGTATTTCAGATGACAAAACTTATTTGAAGACAATCTCCACAAAATCAAGGCAATAACAAACACAGATGTTACATTAAAAACCAGCATTACACTTCTAAAGAAAGTATTAATAGCAAACACGTAATATCAACAGTGAGCATTTCACCCTTGTATCTCAGTCTTTTATATAAGTTGATAAACAGAACTCTTCACAATTTATCCAGGGAAGCACTGCAGTGCAGTGACGCTGAGGAACTAAAATTCACCAAGTGAATCAGTGTCAGGAACAAGTACAGACAGACAAGTTCTGCTCCCAACAGCAGATTGTGACACTTCATTCATTCCCTAAATGGTTGAGTCAGCACAGATAATTTATCAGCTTTAAAGGCCAACTGGTTCTGTGTGTAAATGAGACTAATGCTCCTGGTTTCAGCAGGTACACAACTGCACACAGCAGGGCTCAGCCTGGCCCTGTTGAGTTGATATCAAACAGACAGGAACATAAAAGCATATCTCACTTTCCAGGTCAGAGGGAGATGACAGATTCGGAGCTGCAGTGCAAAGATGAAGCAGGGATCAGCTGAGATACCCTCGTGTCAGGAAACTGAACCCGGCACAGCAATGCAGAAGCGTTTCTGTGGCTTTTATTTGTTGACATCCTCTTTGCTGAGTGCATGAAGATAGTAACAAACATGCATTTCAGGCATTTTCCCTTTGTTCTAGGTAATTTCAGGCTGTCAGGTCTCCTTTGGACGTGTGCTGCCTGAATCACAATGAAGGCCTTCTCCAGTAATACTTTACACTAAAATAATCCAATTAAAAGGAACTTAATTGGTGTGCAACATTCCCTACAATTTCAACATTTTAAAAATGAATAGTCTCAGTAAGTACCAGATGGTGACACGCACTAATTAATCAGGCCTGCTCAGTGAGTGAGCACATGGAAATGAATGCACCTCTCAGACAGGGCTGCAACCAAAAAGCTCCCCCCAAATGACAGTGTGTGATATTCCTGAGCACTCTGTGGGCTCTTCTGAGATCACCAGGTACTGGGACAGGTTTCCTTTGGTTTGTTCTGCTCCAGGGAAAAGCCATTTACCTTTAGCACTGCTGTCCCTGAGAACAGTTTAATGCAATTTTTATGCTGCAGAATAAAGTGCCCTGATCAGCCTCTGTCAGCAGTGGCCCAGTGAAGTGCTCCTGCACAGCCCACAAACCTCTCACCACTGTCAGACACGTCCCTCAGACTGAAAACACCAGCAGTGGGAGCCCAGCCTGGGTTTCCTACATGGGAGTGCCCAAAGGCCACAAAACGACCATGGCTTTGTGGTTTGTCTGAAGCACTTACAGGCACCTGGACAGCCCCTGATCATCACCAACCACAGTGCAAACCTCACACAGCAGGAATGGAGGGATGGGGACTCTTTGCCAGTATCTGATTCTTGTGTCTTCGAAATTTTAATGTAATTGTAAACATTTTAAGAGACTTTTTTTTTTTAAAAAAAGCTGAAACTCTCCAAATTCACACCTGCAGGTCCCTCTGGGGGGCAATGGGCCATAGAAACGCTCCCAGAGAGTGTCAAGGAATGGGACTCACCCCACTCAAGGAAAAAATGTGAAACTAAGGGATGGGAAGCAGCACTATGGACTGCTGCAACTTTATTCCCAAAGTGAAGGATATTTGCTAAATATCAGCTCATGGTTGTACCAAGCCAGAGCTGTGACTGGCAAAGCACAGGTGGGCATTTCCATAAATGCTGGGCATTGCCATTTTTGTTTAAAAAGTTCTATTTTGTTGCAGATAGTTGGTTTTTTTTCCAGTTTTAAAGTGTCACGCTGTATTTTCTCTCACTTAAAGGGAGTTTAAATGACATAAATATTTCATAATCCTGAGTAAGTGAAGGAAACTCTTTAAAACATGTATTTTTTTCCCTCTCTAAAACTTGCAAGGATAAAACAAGATAGAAATGACCAACGAACTGGGGCAAAAGCCTGCCTAGGGCTAGACAATCTGTGATGCTTCAGAAGAAAACAGGCATTTCTTTGCAGTTTACCTAACCCAAAGAGATAATGCCACAGAGCAAGGAAAAGGCAAGAAATATCCTCGGGATCTGCCCAGGTAATCTGATCAGATTCTGCATCATCACTTTGGGAGCACACAAAGCAGTAATAAGGACAAGCTCTCCCCTCTGGTGTTGAGGCCCAGCAGGCCAGCCAGGGCATGTATTTGGATAAGAACTCTTCTGAGCCTCAGTGATAAGAATCCTTGACATTCTGAACTGGAGAAAACTACTAAAAATATTTCTTTTCCTTTTGGAAAAATCACCATTTAGCATCAACACAACTTAAATTCATAATGACCAGACATATATATATTCATATTATAATGATCATTCAAACAATGCTGCACAGTATGTTCTTTAGGAATACTTTTATATTTACATGGAAAATTAGTTTTTATTTTTTACTTTTTAAAAAGAAAACCCCAGTGAGATAAAACAGACTACAAATTGTTTACTTTGCTTCCTAAAAAGGGCTCTACAACATAGCAGCAAATTAAGGTTAAGTGCATCAGCTGGAAGTAAAAAGCACAGTAATAATAATAATTTTTAAAAAATATCCTCAATTCCAGTGCATTAAAGTTTCTCTCAACTCCATTTAAGGAAAATTATGAGAATTAAGCCCCTCACAGTATATCAAAATTGCACCTGTATGACTATACCTTGAGCAATCTAATTATCTTTGATTTACCCTTCCTGGGCTCACTTGCAGTTCCGCCCTTTGATCTTTTTTCCTGTTTTTTAAGCAACATGAAAACATTCAGAAGAACAAACTTTACCCAAACTCTCCAGAACGTGCTCACAACAACCCAAAAAGCAATACCTGAAAAATGTTCCATAGGCAGAAAGGCAGTGCCAGCTGTGGTCACCCTTGTGCTGAGCACAGCCTGGGGAGCAGAGCAGTGTGGATCCTCACTGCAGGGGGGGTCCATCCACTCTGCACTTTCTATTTATTTAAACCCCCCTCCCTTGCACTGCTGCAACCTCTGGCTCCAAACCCCTTTGTGCTGATGCAGCAAAACCCACAACTGCCAAAAAAAATTACCCATTGCAGTTTAGCAATTAACTCGTGGACAGTGAAATACAAAACAGTATTTGAAAGGATAGGAAAGAAGTTACTAAAAAGCAGCCAAACACCTGCTGTGGTGTCAGGGCAGGTAACTCAGGGGAGAGCTGGTGGATCACAGCCAGTGTGAGAGGCAGCTCCAACACAGGGGATACAGCACTGCCAGCTGGGAACCCTCCAGAGGTCTCAATCCCCCTGGCAGAGCCTTAGGAGTTATTAAATATAGACTGGAGAGAATTAAGTTTAAAAATAAACCCCACTATGAGCCATTTTAAAAAACCCGAGATATTAAAAATAACCGATAAATTATGAGCAATAGCACATCAGGGCTGGACTGTGCAGAGCCAAGAACTGGGCAGAAAGTTGGGAACCAGGTGGCTGAGCTACACAGAATCCTGAAGTCCCTCTGAACCAGGCACTGGTACAGCCAGGAGCTGAGCACAGGGTGAATGGCACAGTTTTTTGATCATGACTCCTGTGAAGGAAACTCGCTCTTCCTACCAAACCACGGGCAAAAGAGAAATGGCACAATTTTATTTTAAGCTTTTAAGAAGTTCTCACCAATTCCTAACTGCAGGACATGCAAATGGTGCAACAGAATATGCAAGGGAACCAGCAGATTGCACACTCTCTGTGTGAGAAAATCAATGACATGATTTACTGAGTATTGTGTTCAGTTCTATTTATGACATCTCAGGAAGAAATGCTGCATAAAACAGCCACAAAACTATTTTAATATGGGAAGTTTTTCATCCTTTCAGTGAAATCCCTTCAGATTAGGATAGTTTAGTTCAGAATGAGACAAATAAAATGATATTATATTAAATGATCCGTCACATAAAGCAGACAGACTGGGTGTTCCCATTTAGTATCTATCTCAAAAAAAGAACAATAAACTCAATGCAGCATATTTACATCTGCAAGAAGAAAATTATTCCACATAAAACACATCCTGAAACAAGCTGGCACTGAGATCAAGAGGTTGATGGATTCAGAGGAACAATTAGACATTTATTCTTGGGATGAGCCACGGACAGTTGTATTAGGTGGGGTAAACCCACAGCTCCCAATTTCAGTGCTTAAACAAAGCATTAACCATTTCAGCTGAGAACAAAATTCACTCACTAGATTATTCCAGTGTTGTCCATTTAGGAAGTCTGGGCAGCACTAAGGGCAGGGCCACTCCACACTGGAGTCTGGGCATGACTCTGTTCTTCCTTTTCCCACATCCTTCTCTTTACTTTCAGTGGTTTTAGCTTCATACAGCAAAATAACTAAATAGTGCAATAACACTGACATCCCATTATCTCCCAGCAGTAAGGTCAGGCCTTCCTCTCCTCCTCCTCTCACACTTTGTCACTCTTGTCCCAGACTTACAGCTCAGCCCTGGAACATTCCCTGTGCTCATTTCTGCTTTTTGTGACTACACAACCATGTTTGATATTGGGCAACTGGGGCCTCAGCTTTGAGCTACCTGGGCCAAGGGACTGGGTCACCCCAACACATCCTGCAGTGATCCAAACAAATCCAAAGCAATACCTGAGACAGGCCATGGTCATTCCCAAGGTAAGGAAGCCAGGTGGAAGTCTTACTAAAGACCAGTACTGTTTGAATGTTTTCATGCTACAGGACAGAAACATCAGAATAAGGTTACAGAAGAAAGAGAAAAAAAAGGCATTTTTCCTCTACAACTAACCTAAACAATTTAACTTTTGAAAACACATACATTGCTATTTTATGGTGGAAAATATAAATAAAAATAAGCCTGATACTGATATCTCATTCACTACATGGTGGAGCAAGTGCCTGGAAGGGGCCTGAATCTTTGTAAAAGCTCCTTCATTTTCCCATTCCACAGCAACCATCTCCTCCCACTGCCATCTGCTTGGAGCACTCACTTTGCCTTGTTCCTCACATCCATGATCAAAGACAGCCATTCTAATTTGAGGACCTCTTTGATAATCTTGAGAAACGAGCTACAGGTAATTTTTTGGTCATCAAAGCTGGTTCAAGCAGCTTGCTCTCTCTCAGGCTACTCTCCTAATTAGTATGTCATTTATTCATCCCAATAAGCTACTTCACCAGGCACGATGGATGTAAGAAATTTTAATCTGCAGCCATAAGCCACAGCAGTGAAATGAGTGATGAGCTCTCAGTCACAAGGTTAAAGATATTAATGTTTACTAGTGTTGAAGTTAATAACAATAACAGATATTCTTCAGTGTTCAACAGTAACAACAGACACTCTTTGGTGCTCCTTATGCTTTGCCCTGAATCCATCCCTGTAAAATGGGAAGCCACCACTGATAAGAATGTTAATAGGAATAAAAAGCACCATCATAGATGAAATTCAGAAAAGGCATTAGCAGGTACTGGAATTGTATGCTTTTAGCATTCGTAATAAGAATTGATATTTCACTTGTTCTTATGATTTAAGTGTTGTGTCTGACAGTCACAAAAACCTGCCACAACACACCAGTGTTCCAGGCACACCACGGGGGGCTCTGTGATGCAGCTGTTTCCCTCCATGGGGACAGAAAAGGACAAACAGCCAAACCCAGGGCACCCAACAGTCAGTAATTAGCTTTTCAGGCTACCAAAAGAGACATGATGTAGGGCAGGGATAAAAACCAACCAATCAGACAAAACTCCAGTAATTTATTTTAGACCACAACATCTGATTCCATACTTTAGAAGAATCCATACATGGAAGAGCTATGCAGTGAGGGCATCATTAAATATCATCAAGGACAGAATAAGAAAGGAAATGTAATAGAAATTCTGTATTAGTTTTTATCCTTACAGACAATGACTGGTTTTTTGCAGCTTGGGAATTTGCTTGATTTACTCCATGAGAGAAGAAATACCCTCCATTTTCACAGACAGATGGCTTAAACCTATCAAGTATGGAAACCACTGTAATTTTTAGCCAGTGCTGTAAGAGGAGGAAAGGGGAAGGAGGAATCATTTGCTGCTGCCAAGAAGGTTGACTTCAGGCAGGAAAAACCTGCCCTAGGAACCCATCTGCTCTGTGGGCAGTAGGAGCAGCCACCTAAAAGGAAGAGGTGTCTTATCACAGCCAGCCCCAGCAGCTGGAGTGGAGCCTGGCACAGCCCCAGCAGCTGTTCCTCCCAGCCCTGGCCAGCCCTGCTGTCCGAGCACTCCAGTACTAATTAAGGAGCTGCAGATCATACCTGGAAATGCCAAACTTGCAGCCCAGCCAGGGCTCACTCCAGGGTCAGGACACAGCAGGAAACAAGGCTGAAGCATAGCAAACAAGCTGTAGCAAAGGAAAGACAAAGAAAATCAGCACCCATATTCAATTCTCTTTCTTTAGTTCTTTTTTTTTACAGATTGAAATGTTTTCCTAAAGGAGCTGATGGCCAAACATAAATTTTGCTACTTGTGCTTGACAGAATCCTGAGAATGCAAAGCTTTTTCTATCCAGAAAAAACACAGTGTGAATTTTCTACTTTTGTACTGCTGAGATAACTCAATACCAATCCACAGGGATCTGAAAGTAAAAGCAGACTCACACTCTGAATTCTTCACCTTTCAGATGAGGTTTTTATGACAGAATACTTTATTAGCAAACAGGGCTGCTACGAGTCCACACCAGGAACCACACCAAGCCCAGGGCAATTATCTTTTGTCACTGCCAGCCCCAGTGAAATAGGAAAGGCTGCAATTACTTGCCCTCTTGGAGGGTCTTGAGGGAGGTTTATTCCTGCCCTAGGCAACACTGTGCCATTTGGAACTAAATTGTCTCTAACAAGAAGGAGTCTAAGAGAATAAGAAGCACCAAGTTGCAAGGGCAGCAGCAAAACTCTTCCCACTGCCCCCTGCTGAGGTCCTGGGCTCAGTCCCTATATAGCTTAGGAGACAACACCAATAGGAAGAAAATGGCTCAGGAATCCCAATCAGGCCTCCTCACCACTGCCCCACCAACACTGCCCAGGAAGGTGATGCCAGGTCTCCCACAGAGGGTCCACAGAAGAGCCCCCATGCTCTCTGTAGCATTAACCTTGCAATTCAGACAGAAAGAAAGTCTGTCCTGCAGGTTTTGAGGTTATGGGCTCAGCCTTGGCTTAATTAGTCACGGTGGCAGGTTGTGGTTACACAGACAGGGTATGGGATCCTGGCTGTTGTCAAAGGGGAATTGCCACAGCAATCCCAACAGCTCTCACTGCAGTGTTAGCTCGCTGCTTTTGCCCCATACTTAACAAGTACTACTGGTTCTACATTGCTATTTTTAAATAAAAGTATAAATAAATTCAGCTCTCAAGTCTTCTCTCTAAAGGGAGCTGCCCAGACCTCCAAGCACTCCTGTGAATTGTTATTAGCACCCTCGGACTGTTGCTCTCCAAACACAACACGGTGTTCCTGGAGCTTCATACCAGTGACAAACCCGATGGAAACAAACCCTTCCACTCCTCAAACAGATCCCTCCACACGTGGTGTCCAGGCATTGTCCTTTTAAACCCAGACTGGCATCCAGAACTCACGATAAGTGTGTGCTCATGCCTTCCACAAGCTTCTGAGGATCTTCACTTCTCTCAGTGGAGTCAGGTAAGCCCTGCCCAAACTCTTTTATTCCCAGTTTACAGTTGTACATGATAAATACAGTGTATTTGCTCCATCTTTTTTTCCCAATATACCCAGGGAATATATTTGCTTTCAAATTTCCTGCTCTCCCCCTATTTACATTTTTTTTTTCAGGTTACTCATAAATAAACCCTGACTAATTTTAGGACAAAGATTAATATAGAGCACCCCACTCAGACTCCTACCTAAACCAGTTTCAGACTTGTCACCTCTCTCCAGGCCTAACCCACAGAATATACATGGCATTTTCTATGTTGTTTCTTAATAACAACACAGAAAAACAAAATTAAAAAATATTAGATTTAAAAGTTAATTTAGCCTTTTGTATACTTGTTAACCAAGTTAGCTATTGCTAGATCACAAAACACTAGCATTTGCAAAGAAGACACAGAGAAGCATGAGGAAGACAGGACATGTGGTTTTGCAAATACAATGAATTTGTGGTTTATTTTCAAGATATTTTTTTGGTTTGCAATAGTATCAACCTTTCAACAGAAAAAACAGTCTGAGTAATTCAAATAAAGATTCAAAGTTTAATTTTTTGGTTTTCAGTGATTTGCAAAAATATTTTTTTGGCATAACCAGAAAATTAGTCACTACTAACTTCACCCTCTATGGCTGTTTTAAGTAAAAATCATTTCTCATCGTGCAAACGTCATCTTTTTAAAGTCAGCTGTTTTATAAAGCCTTTTGTTGAAACGAGGTATGTTAACAGGGATCCCAAAGACTTAATTTTGATAGAAACTGCAGTATGTCAAGCTCAATAAAGGCAGCAGACTCATGTCTGGATGCCAGAATGTAGTATGTAAAAAAAAAAAAATAATGCTGAAGTTGAATAATAGAATATTTATCAGTTGCTTATCATGCCTGGGTGCAGGTGTAGGACTTGGCCCCTGGGTTGCTGAGGAACTGCAGCAGATTTGCTCTGTGCTGTGCAGGTTCTCAAAACACATGTTAATACAAAGATTTTCGCTACATAAAAATACTCATTTCTCATTTTTTCTCTCAGTAGAGAGCAAAGTAATTCCCTAACTTCCATATGGTGTGGCAGGAACAGGAAGACTAAAGAGAAAAGTGGGAAGAGAGGAAGAGCTGAGAGCATTTCCTGGAACACGCTGGTTCCAAGGAGCAGCTTCACCACAGAGCTCCTTCCGCTCCCCTCCGGCCGTGCCAACACCGGGCCCTGGGGCACAAACCCCACAGTGTTCCCGTGCCCCAGAGCCCGCTCCCTGTCCCTCCCTGTGCCCCACAGGGCACAAACCCCACAGTGTTCCCGTGCCCCAGAGCCCGCTCCCTGTCCCTCCCTGTGCCCCACAGGGCACAAACCCCACAGTGTTCCTGTGTCCCAGAGCCCGCTCCCTGTCCCTCCCTGTGCCCCACAGGGCACAAACCCCGCAGTGTTCCCGTGTCCCAGAGCCCGCTCCCTGTCCCTCCCTGTGCCCCCAATGCCAGGCCCTGGGGCACAAACCCCGCAGTGTTCCCGTGTCCCAGAGCCCGCTCCCTGTCCCTCCCTGTGCCCCAGTGCTGTCGGGAAGCAGGTGCACAACCAGCCCAGAGCTGCTCCTGCCCTGCTGCCAACCCCGCTCCGGTGCCAAAAGCCAGGCAGTCCCAACACACTGTGCTGCTGTTCCAGCCCAGAATCCTTCCAAGGCTGATACAACCCACCAGGCTGAACAAAAGGATGGGTTCATAACGCTAATTAGCATTGTACAGCCAGAAGATAGACTGTAGCCTCTATCTCTAATGTCCTATGTCAAATTTGTTCTCTCCACATAAAAGACTGGTACATTAACCATGTCTCACTTTCCCATTTTTCTCTTCAGAGGAGCTGGCTGAATTGCAATGCACAGGGAGAGACTGAAACGCTCAGCAGATGATTTTGCTTAAACCTCAAGTAAGACAAATGGGCCGAGCTCTTCAATGCCGGCCCTGGGACGCGTGGGCGATGTATCACATCCTACAGGGGACGGCATTTGGAAAAATTCCCTTCTCACTCCTCAGCCACTGCACTCTTTTAATTACCTGCTAAACTTGGAGAAAGAAGAACCGGGAAGGGAAAGGGCAGAAGAGACTTGCCAGAGATAATGAGGTGGGTGCTTGCTGAGCTGAGGCAGCAGCACCCTTAATGCCTGAGCTGCAGGAGGCACAGGAGGGTCCCTCTCCCTGCCCAGCACCAACAGGGGCTCTGCAGTCCCTCGTTTTAAGTAAGACATGAAGCTCAAGCAGCAAGTTCACTACCTGAGTGAGGGGTTTGGTTTTATAGCCTGTGATGGAAGAACTAGTCTGAGGCTCTGGAGAAGTAATAAAATACATTCTGCCTCAAATCTCCATTAACCTTTAATGTGCCAGGATCCAGAGACAAGTAAAAGTCTCTAAAGGTCCCTGGAATCTTACTGCTTTCTGTGTTTCCCCGTGCACACTTCGTTTTTACACTCTAAAAACAAAGCCTAAAGAAATAAATTAGGAAGAGCCGGCAAATTAATTTTTTTGAAGTCTGATTTTAGTCTTTCCTGCGAAGAATGTGATTCAAAAACTCTTGTAGTTATTATCATCCAACAGCTTTTTTTATGAATGGATTTGGATCCATCTGTGGGATGGATTTGATGAGCTACTCCACACCAATGTGGACAGTACCTTTGTTTCCTTATAGATGCAAACAAGGGACCATTATCCCAAGATCCAGCATTACTCCTGCTGCTAAACATACTGGAAGAGCTCTCAGGTGAATACACACTTTCCTTACAGTGGTAACCAAGTTGTGACTCTCATAGAGGTCACGCATCAGGTATTTGGCTTGAAAGTTTTGCACAACTAAAGCACAACTGAGAGCATTATTTTCTTTCAGTATTATTATTGTAATATACAAGGGTAAATGTAATGCCACAAGTGTACAGCTTTAATTGAAATGTAAAATAAACTGTTTGTTGATAGTCTCCCTCGGTTCTCCTTTGATAATTATGAAAGTAATTCTATTAACTGCTGTGCCCAAAACATGTGGGGGAGAGACTGAAATCACTATCTGAAAGTTACAGTATCACAGTAGCAGTTCAGGGTTAAAAATCACATCAATAGTGCCTTCTTTAAAAATACACCTGTATAGTTTGCATATTGCAGTAGCAGAGAAGTATGTATTATACGTATTTATAAACACACACACAAAGGGGAAGAAATTCCCAAGCATTAAATATGTTGGTATATTCTGAGATCTTCAGATCGAGATCCACACAAGGCATACTCAACACAAGCAGAATAAAAGAGGACTTAAAACCGAGAAAATATGATTACAAAAGAGAAAAACTACATTAATAACGAACTCCTGGAAGAATTAACTTAGCCAGTTTGTCCAGTGAAAGCTGTAAAACTACAGAACACTGTAGAAAGCAGCCTGTCAGAACACAGGCAGCAAGGATGCACCAACACCCAGCTGGACCCTCGTGGATCCCTGCTGACTCCAGGGGAGATCACAGAGCTCTGCCCACAGCAATGGTTTTTGGAATGATTCCCACTCTGCCCTCTCAGTGGGTCTGTTGTACCAACCCCAACAAGGGGAACATTTCACCACCACCCCATTTGAAATGCTCACCATGTCACACAGACCTACACATCACGTACGAAGTTCCAACAGACAACTTCCAATACAGAAAATACAGTCCCTCTTTTAAAGAAATAAAAGTC